CCTCGCGGCCGCGCCCTCGGCCTGCCCGACGGCCCGACCCACAGCCAGCCCGACGGTCCGCCCTGGCAAAAAGGCACAGGCGAAGAGAGATCCTCAATAACTCCAGCGGCCGTCAGCTGCAACCCTGGAGGACAGAGACCCACAACAACTCAGACGGCCGTCAGCCGTAACCCTGGTGACGAGGGACCCGCGAGAACTCAAGGCGCCCTCTCTGGTGGTCAGAAGGAGGTACCCTTGCTCCCCGACGACCTTCCGGGCACCCCTGGCGGCCAGCAGACCTCGCAAGGAAGAGAACACAAAAAAAATGAAGGGGGGGGAACGGAACGGGTCAGAAGGAGGCGCCCCCGCTCCCTGACGCCCATCCGGGCACCCCTGACGGCCAACAGACAGGGCAAGAAGACGCAGGCGAAGAGTCTCCAAGCACTCCTGCGGCCGTCAGCGGCAACCTTCGCGAACAGAGACCCACAACAGCTCAGGCAGCCGTCAGCCGCGCCCCTGGTGGCGAGGGCCCTACGAGACCCCAAGACACCCGAAGGTCAGAAGGTGGCACCCTTGCCCCCTCTGCAGCAGCAGCAGCAGCAACAGCAGCAGCAGCAGCGGCAGCCGCAGAGACCCACAACAGCTCAGACAGCCGTCTGCCGCAACCCTGGGGAAGAGGGACCCGCGAGAGCTCACAGCGCCCTCTCTGGCGGTCAGAAGGAGGCACCCCTGCTCCCTGACGGCCCTCCAGGCACCTCTGGAAGCCAGCAGAACCCACGAGAAGACAGGGTCCGGGCCTGAATGGAGAGGAACGGGTCAGAATGAGGTACCCTTGCTCCCTGATCCCTGGTCTCCGAGACCACAGGGCACTCTTGCGCCTCAGTGCCCGAGCCAGCTTCACGACTCCAGCTGCGCGGAAGAGGTTCAGTGCCCGAGCCATCTCCTCGCCTCCAGCTACCCAGCTGAGTCAGAAAATGCGACCCTGGATGTCAGGGAAAAGGAGAGGGAGGCTGCGGCGGAAGGGGCGGAAGCTGCGGGGGGCCGCGGAATATCGGGGGCCTGAAGCGGCGGAGGCCTTTGAAGGTGCGAAAGCTGCACGAGCCGTCGCCCGCGCCCCTGGGGCAGAGCCGGGCGCGCAGGGGCTGGCCCCCGAGAGCGCGGACGACAGTCGCAGCAGTCCGCGAAGCGAGATCTTGGACCAGCAGGGGCTCGCCTGCCACATCTTGCCACCCCCATCTTCTCCACAAAATAGGCAGACCGTCAGCAGTCCTCCGGGGGCGCCGCAGACCCGACAGGGGGGCCGCGGACCAGCCGTTCAGGCGCAGGACATCGAAGCCATCCGCCGGCTCGTCGGGAGAAACCCCTTCGCGCCTATTCGCCCTCCTTCCCCTGCCAGTGAACCCACCCCAGCGGGCGGCGAACCTCGGGCGCCCCCTCCAGACGCCCAGGGTACGCCTGACAAAGAACGCTGTGATCTAGCAACGGAAACGGTGTCGCCGTGCGCGCGCGCACCTGGCGCGACCAGCGGCGCCCCCGAGTCCGGCGAGAGGCTCGCGGTGACCGAAGGGGGCGCGCCCGCGAGCGACGGCGGGCACAGGCCCGAAGGCGCGCGCCAGCGAAAGGGCCCCCCCCCCGCGCGCCCCAGGGCAGCGTCCGCTCGGGCTGCCGGAGGCGACGCGGCCCCTGCGTGGCGGCCAACCACGCGGCCCGCACCATCCCGCAGGGCCCTTGCAGGCGTGCAACCGGAGCTGTCGCGAACAGATTGCGAGCCCTCCGCCCAGGACAGCGGGGCCGGTTCGCCGGAGATTTGCGGCCAGAACACGCGGCAGCGCCAATGGCCAGAGCAGCGCCAATGGCCAGAGCCCTCGGGCCCCGACGCGGAACAGCAGCTGTACAAAGCAAAGATCGGCACCACCCAGTGGGGGCCCTCCCGGGGAGACACCCGGCGAGGCGATAAGGCGGCCCCAAGTCACCCCGGGGGCAATGTTCACAGGCACCTGGCGCGCTTTCGCCAACCAGCAGGCCGTGCCTGGCAGCAAAGGCGCGCTCGACCCGCTTCGGCACGACCCGCAAACCTGCCTTCGCTTCCTGGATTCCTCCCGCAGCCAGAAGTGCGACGCGCGGGCCGTTAGCGACGCGCTGGGCCTCGACGTCGACTGGGCTCGGCTGCGGCATCGGCGCCCGGGTCGATGCGGCGGCGCGGGCAGGGGTCACCATGCGGCTAGGGGCCACCCTGACACCCGCGCACCCAGGAAGGGCAAAAAACAGTGGCTGGTCGTCTCCCCGCAGTAGCCGTTGCTGCCCCGCGTCGTGGCGCCGCACTGGCTGCGAAGGGCCCCGCGTGCTCTTGTCCAGCGGCCACATCCCTGGGTGCCCGCCCCGTCGCCCCCCCCGGCGGGGAGGGGCCCGCGGGGCTCAAGGTGCCTTGCGTCCCGGTGCTATCGGCCAAGGGCCGTCTGCGCCTCCCCCCCCCCGTGCACGCCCCGCCCTTGCTCAACCCAGTCGGCGGCTAGCCGCGACTCTGGATCCACGCGGGGCGCTGCTGAGACCACGGGTTCGGGACCTCCCGCGGATGCTCGAGGGACTCTTGCATCCCGGCGCTGTCCGCCAAGGGCCCTCTGCCGTGCGGGCACGCGTCCTCCTACGGAGGCTCAGGGTGCTCTTGCATCCCGGCGCTGTCTGACCAGGGCCGTCTGCCGCCACCCTCCGCGGGTGTTCGTCTTCACCCAACCCAGTGCGGCGGTTTTCCGCGACCCTGGATCCACGCGGGGAGCAGCTGAGAGATGAGACTACGGGCGCGGCGCGTCCTCTCTATACTTCAGCTGCGGTCAGCGGCGTCCTTGGAGGTACCCCGCCGCCCCCAGGGCGTCAGTCCACTGGCTGCTGCCTGCCCACCCCGGACCACACCAGCAGTGGCGAAAAGATCGACCGTTCGGTACGACCTTCCTCTCAGCGGCGGTTAGCTGCGACCCCGGATGCCCCTCGGGGATGGCGGCCGTGCCCCTTGACAGGTGCACCGGGGATCCGTTCGGCGCGCGGTGGTGTCTGCCCCCCAACCGCAGAAACAAAAACAGGAGCAGGAGCCCGAGCAGGAGGAGAAGGAGGAGGAGGAGCAGGAGCAGGCAGGAAGACCAGTGTAAGCCCAAGAGTCACCAACAATGTTGCAATACCACCTCCTTCCAAGTTCCCTCTTCACAGGTCGCTGCAAGGAGATACTTTCACTGCGGAAGTGGCTCGTTGGAAGACGACCGCTTGAAAATCTTCAACCATGCCAAATCACCATATGTGGGATTCCAACACCGAAGATGCATGTGATTGCTGCGTCCTGGCGATCCAGAGTCGCTACATACCGCAAATTCTGGGGCGCAGATTATAGGAATTGGAGTCCTTGAACCTGCTCCAGACTGTTAAGACGAACGTGCGCGGCGCTCAAGCGATAGCCACCTTTTGAACACGAGCGGCCCGCCATCTGTGAAGTCCCTGCATTCCCTTAGGACGAATGCGAACTGCGCTAAGGCGATGACAGCTTTTTGAAAACAGCCCGCGCTCCACCCGTGAAGCTCTTGCACGAATAGGACGAATGTGCGCGGCGCTAAGACGAGAGCCAAATTTTGAAATCGGCCCGCACTCCAGCCGTGAAACCCTTGTAACGTTTTAGAGCGAATGTGCGCGGCGCTAAGGCAATAACCACATTTTGAAAACGGTCCGCCATCCATCCGTGAAACATGAGCGGTGAGGATGTCTCAGGCGACACGCTCATCTCGCCCTACCGACCAGTCTCGGGGTGCGACAGGGAGCAGTTACCTAGAAGGAAGAGGGATGGAGGATGAGGAAGACCAGGGTGAATTTACATATGGTCCAACGACGCTGCAATACGCCCTCCCGTCAGAAGTTTGTTCCCCATAAGGACCGACAGCTTGTCATATCACCACTCGAAGCTCCCCCTTCAAAAGCCAACACCCCATGGGCCTGCCATTCTGGCGAGGCCCCCGCTTTGAAAGTGACCTGCCTCGCATCCTGTTGGCGGCTAGCAAGGATTGTAAGGCGAGAAGTCCGGGCAGCCCCCATCTGTGCAATTGTTGCACACCTTTGATCGTTTGACCATAAGTTGCGAGGAAGTCGCAAGCGAGAGCTCCATGTTGCAATCAAGCCGCCCTATATCGCCGCATACGTTACTTATGTTGCGGCTACTTAAGTTCTAAGCGATAGTCCCATTATGAACGAGAAGCGTCGCCCGTCTTTGTAATAGTTGCAAGGTTGTCAGGTGAATGAGCGCGGCGCTATAGGCGAGACCCCCGCTTTGGAAAGAAATTGCCCACCATCCTTTTAACTCTTGTTGTAGCGTTTTGAGACGAGCGTGCGCTTTGCTAAGGCGAGAGCTCAATATTTATAACGGTCCGCTCTCCATCTGTAGCTGTTGCACGCTGTCCAGACGAACGTGCGGGGCGATATGGGGCTAGTTCCATTTTCAGAACTGTCCACCCTCCATCCTGTCACCGTTGAAACGTTCGAGCTTCATATGATCACCTATCGTGAGGACGTCTCAGGCAAAACGCCCGGCAAGCCCTACCAACGCGTCTGGTTGTCAGACGAGGAGGTGGCATGTATAAAGAACAGGGGGAGGAGTGAGGAGGAGGCGGGAGGAGAAGAAAGGGAGGAGGCAGGGGGAGCGGTTGAGGAGGAGGTGGCGGATGGGGGGAGGATGAGGAAGAGGAGGGGATGGAGGAGGGGGAGACGGATGAAGAGCAAGCTTGGGGGGGCAAGAAGGCGGCGGCGGCGTGGACGACGATTCGACCAGAAATGTTCTTGCGTATCTCTTGGTCTTGGAGCCTCGTAACGGCCTCGTGGGGCCATCTTTGGGGCACTCTCTGGGCCGTTTTTGGGGGTCCTGAACGCCCTCCTGGGGGCCCTCTTTGGGGCATCTGGGGCCCTCTTGGAAGCCACCTCGAAAGGGAGGATGCCGTTCTGGCGGCGCCGCCGACGGCGACGGGGGCGAAGCCGCGGAGCGCGGCGCGCCGCAGGGCCACCAGCTGCAGCGGCGCCTCCCCGCAGAAGCCGTGCGAGGGCGCCGCCGGCTCTCTCGGCCCAGGCGCCTGCCGCCGCATGCCGGGTCGGGAGGATCCGGCGGTGCGCACCGACCCTGACGGGCGACGACGACGACAAGGGCGGCGGCGGCGACGGCGACGACGCTGACGCTGACGTAGGCCAGAGTCCTCAGGGATGCTTCTTGGGGTCTCTTCGGGAGGCTCTCGGGGGCCTCCTGGGGAGAATGTCGGGGCCTCTCGGGATCCTCCGGGGGGCCTCTCAGGAGCCTCCTGGGGGCCCTTTCGGGCTTCCTGGGGACACCTCTTGGGGCCTCTTAGGAACCTCTTGGGGCCTCCTGGGAGCCTTTCGGGGCCGAGGGCTCGCAATGTTCGTTCGGGTCCCCGGGACCCCCCCACCCCCTAATTACCCCCCTGGGACTGGCGTAGGCTTGATTCGCCCGAGTCTCGATTCTCCGAGTCTCCTCGATTCGCCCAGCTCGATTCGCCTGGCTCAAATTCGCCTGGCTCGGTTCGCCCGAGTCTCGATTTGCCTGGCTCGATTCGCCCAGCTCGATTCACCCGAGTCGATTTGCCCGGCTCGATTCGCCCAGCTCGATTCGCTGAGTCTCCATTCGCCCAGCTCGATTCGCCCGACTCGATTCGCCAAGGCTCGATTCGACCGAGTCTCGATTCGCCAGGCTTGATTCGACCAGTTCGATCCGCACGAGTCTCGATTCGCCCGGCTTGATTCGGCTGGCTCGATTCGCCCCAGCTCGAATCGCCCGGCTCGATTCGCTCGAGTCTCCATTCGCCTGGCTCGATTCACCCGGGCTCGCTCTCGCTTCGCCAGAATCGATTCGCCCGGGGCCCGATTCGCCCGAGTCTTGATTCGCCTAGGGCTCGATTCGCCCAGCTCGCTTCGCCCTGGGCTCAGTTTGCGCGAGTCTCGGTTCGACCCGAGCCGCCCGTTAGTGTCCGCCCGTTAGGGCTCGCGCGTGCTAACTCGATGATGCGTCCTTTGTTTATGTCCCGCCCGCCCGACCCGACTGGGTCCGCCCGCCCGACCCGACCAGAGCTCGCGCGTGCTAGCTCGATGATGCGTCCTACATTCATGTCCCCCCCGCCCGACCCGACCCGCGTCAGGGTCCGCCCGCCCGACCCGACCCGCTATAGTTCTGCTATAGTTCTAGGATCCGGCTCCAGCGAAACGAGACTCCGTCGAAACGAGCCTCGGCGAAACGAGTCCCTGCGAAATGAGATTCCAGCGAAACGAGACTCTGGCGAAATAAGTCCTGGCGAAACGAAACGAGCGAACCAAGCCCCAGCGGACCGAGCCTCGGCGAACCGAGCTGTGCAAATCGAGTCGGGCGAACCGAGCCCCAGCGACGCCAGCCCCGGCGAACCCAGCCCCGGCGAACCAAGCCCTTTCGAACCAAGCCGCGGCGAACCGAGACTGAGACTCTAGCGAATCGAGTCCGTGCCCTGGGGCTCCCCCCCGACGGGGAGGGATCAATTGCTAGATCTTTCTCTCGCCGGCTAAAGGAGGAGGGTGCAGGGAAATGGGACGACGGAGACGACGACTGACAGAAACGACGACCCGAACAGACAAGCCCCTCACACACGCCGACAGGGTCGGCGGATTCGCGCTTCGCGCTTCGCGCTCTGCTCCCCTCCTCATTCCTCCGCCCTTTCCTCCTCCTCCTCCTCCTCCTCCTCCTCCTCCTCCTCCTCCTCCTCCCCCGTAGCCATTTTGGCTCAAGTAATCCATTTCCCAAGGCAGCTGGCCGATCAGCTTCAGTTTGGTTTCCCAGGCCCGCCACGGCTGCCCAGCCCGCGGTGCCACTTCACATCCTCAGAACGAAGCACACGTTCAGAAAACAATTAATTCACATTTTGCACCTCCATCTCATTGGCGTGGCTCTGCTCCTCTCCTGGCGTTGGACAGGCGATTCGTGGACTCACACACCTCAATGCTACCGCATGGACACCGACACCGACCGTCGCGACACAAAAAGCAGAAGCCAAGCCAGTCATCGTGAACGAAGTGACCGCCGCCGAGAACGTGATCGCAGAGACCGAGACCGAGAATGGGACCGCGATAGAGGACGCCGCCGCGACCGTGATCGACGCCCACCCTCTTCTTCTTCTTCTTCTGACCAGCGGGCTCCACCTAAAGTTTACAGTGGACGCCCGAGAGGACCAACTCAACATCAACAGGGCTCAGCGCAAATTCACACAGCAAAGGAGCAGGAAGCCATGCAGCGAGCGCTATTGGAAGAATGGGAGAACGCCCCCACATTCCCTGATCAGGAACAGCGCGCTTGCAAGGCAGCCCAGCGAATGTCGGAACCACCCGCGCTCCTACCTGAGCAAGAATGGATCGCCGCCCAAGCAGCTCAAGCAGCTCGACTACCCTCTCGTATCACAGCAGCCAGTTCCCATGCCACTGCCTCTCAACCTGCAGCCATGGAAGAACCTGCAGCAGCGCCTGCGCCTGTTGGAGGAACAGCGACACCCATGGATAGCTCTCCGCATGTTTTTGGACCAGACTCCAAGCTTGGACCCGACGCACAGCAAGAACTACGCACTCTCTTGGCAGCGCATATCACAGACATTACCATCGCCGTCGGCAACACCACTGGCGCCTCGCAAGCTCAGTTTCTCGCTGCACCTCAGCGACATGAAACTGCCACTACCAGAAGACTTGTCGGACAAGAGCAAGACCTCATGGCCATCAAAACCGCGCAAGCTCGACAAGGAGGTCAACACAAGGAAGTCTGGGATGCCATCAATCGCATCAACCAGCAGCTCAGCCTCTCCGACGCCGACGCCCCTATCTTGGACATGGCTAAGTTATATGATTGGGATCGGGGGCCTGACCCCACCATATTCACCCTCTCTCGCGCTCAACCAGTCTCCTGTGAAGCAGTCCGCGCTGCCATCGCGGAGTGAATTGCCGCAGCCGAAATCGACGCAGAACAATATCAACTACACGGTGAAGGTCCTAACCGCTGCTTCGCGCTACAAATATTGGGAGGACGCAAGGTGGCCATGCCCCGCGCCATGGCATTGGTAAAGGCACTTCAGCTACCAGGACGGGGAGGCTACAGGAAATTCACAGTTCAGGCCCCACCAAACTGCGACATCACTCAAGTCCAGTATGTCCCGCTCTATGTCAACCCAGAGAAGAACCTCCGCCGCATCCACTTGGGGGCTCAACCTAAGGAGCTACTTGCCTTATGCCAACATCACAACCCCGCGCGCAATTGGCGCGCGCGTCGTGGTCAAGGACGCACCTTCTGCGACACCACCCCCGTCGCCAAACTGGAACGCACAAGCATGGGCGCAGCAACGGTCATTCGTTGGGACCAAGATGCGCTGGCCAAGGTTCCCATCAATAAGGCCACCAGTGCTGCCGCGTTCGCAGCCCTCTACAAGGCCGAGGACACCGCGCAATGGATTCAACAAACGGTGGCAGCCGTGGCGCACGACCATCTCTGACGCAGTCCACGCCCGCCCGCTTGGAAATCGCCAGCATCTGGACCAACGATTACATCCTCTACGCCATGTGCGGCCCCTACCTGCACATAGACAAGACCCACGCGCCGCTGGGCAAGACCTTCCGCACGTCAGACACGCGCCTCAGCCTCGATGACAAGATCCACAGCCTCGCAGACAATATACACAACTTCGCAGACAAGATCCACAGCTGCGCAGACAAGATCCACAGCATCACAGACACGATCCACATCCTCACAGACAAGATCCACAGCTTCAGAGACAATCCGCAGCTTCACAGACAAGATCCACAGCACCACAGCCACGTCCCACGGGCTGCTAGACACGCCCCTCTGCCTCGCGAATCGCACCATATACATGCCGCAGCAGAGCTTCCTCCTCGCGGGGGCTGGAGCGCCCCTGGAGCCCTCCAGAAGTTACTTCGTCGCCACAGGACGTCTATACTCTTCCTGAACAAGACTGCATCCTGCGTGATGCCATTCAGAGCCCCACTTCCCCTTCCTCGGGGAGTACTTCGACTTCTACTTCGACATCCTCGTCCGCATCCACGTCCACATCTTATGCTGATACAGCCAGTGCTACAGCAAGCCGTTGGTGGCCATCCACCTCAGCCCCACACGTTGCCTGCATCACAACCCGCACAACTTCATCCGACCCGAAAGGCCACGACATCTGCTGGCACACGCGCGGGTTACTATGTCATGGCGATAGGAAAAGGCGGGCCAACATTCGACGGTTCGTCCCACTCATGCGCAAGCAGACCATCATTGTGCTTCAGGAAGTTAATGGCTCGCTGCTGGAGCTTCATTCCCACCTCGCGAAGTTGCCGCTCGCATGCAAGCTATTGCACAGTGGTTGCAAGGATGAGGCAGGCGAATCTCGCAGAGGAAAAGGTGGGCTGGCCTTTCTGGTCCCGACACCTACGCGTCCCAAAACGTCTATATTCCTGCAGCCGATTATACATGGACGCGTAGCTGCCTTGCACATCGCCAACCATTCGACAGGCTTCGGAACGGTGCTCCTGAATGCACACATTTCTGAACTCAATGCGACGGCGATGGACAAAGTCAAGGAGGCGCGGCAGCCCTCTAGAACATGGGCTGCGACTCTGCCGCAACAGCGTTTGTTTCTTGCAATGGGCGGCTTCAACACGAGCGCCATCCCGTCCTTCAGCTTCCGAGAACTTGCGGCTCGTTGGCGTCCCATGGTTCCAGACGGTCAATACCAACGCGAGCAGGCACGATGGCGGCAGCTCTTCACAACGCTCACGGAGATCACGCACGACTTACCCACCCACTCTTCGGCCAACACGCAGGCTGTGACCGCCATCGACCGCGTCATCATCTCGCTCACAGGCATCGACCTCCTCAGTGTAGACGCTAACCTGCAGATCCACAAGGACGGTGCGGCTCTGTCTGAGCAAGGACTCAGTGATCATGCCATTCTTCACTTCTCGCTCCGCAACATCTCGGCAACGCGTATCGACGAGCAGGCAATCGATCCCAACATCTCCTACGACCCCTCCTGCCAGCGCCACTTCGACATGCTGAAGATCACATCGCCAAGGCCAACCTCGCACCGACAGCGGCGCGGCAGCAGCACAAGCTCATCATCAAAGAAGCAGCCAGGTTCACCCGCAACCTCCAGCAGCGCGCCTCGCTCCAAGACCTCAGTCGCCGGGCCAAGCATGGGAGACCCACCACATTGCGATCAATAGCTAGGACGATTTGGAGGAAGGACAAGGATACAGCCGCATTACTCATGGCCACGACGGAGCTAGACAGCTACCACTTACGCATCGCCGAAGACGGACCCGAGATCACGAGCAGAGACGAGTTCATCAAGACCTTGGACATTGCAGTCACCGCGGACTACGAGAGGCGCATCGCCATTGCCACCAAGCGCCAGCAGGGCGGGGCCGAAGGGCTCCCCGATCAAGGAGCCAGCGCAGACGTGCCGCCATGCAGCCCGCCCGGCGTGCCCAGGCACGGAATCCGTTCCGTCGTCGGCTCGTACTATCAGGACTCAGGATCCCAAAAGAGGCCCCAGGCACCACCTCTCACCCCCTAGTCAAAACACTAGAGGGGATTCTCGAAAGGTCTTCAGAAGTTCTTGCAGCCCATGCGGTCCAGCAGTGCTTCGAAAAGCGCCTCCCCAGCTTCGACTGCGCGGACCTCAGGGCCCCTGCTCTGGAGGACTTCAAGCGAGCTCTCCGTAAGGTTCGACACGCAGCACCAGGGCCCGATCATATACCCTATGCAGCATGGGCCACTAGCCCAGGCTCCTCCCAGTTCCTATATGAGCTGATGATGCAGATGTGCGAAACAGGCATCGCCCCGCATCGTTGCAACGACTCGATCTTCGCTTTTCTCCCCAAAGGCGATGACCCCCAGGATCAATTTGCAGCGTTTCGCTCTCCAGGGGCCACGCGCCCACTCTCCCTGAAGAACTGCGATGCCAAGCTGATCGCGCACGTCGTCAACGCGGGTCTGGTTGATATGGTTCGCGAGCGCGCAGCGGACACGCAGCAAGGCTTCGTGAAAGGCAGAAATTTCGGACAGCACATACTGACGCTAGACTCTGAAGCACGCAGTGCAGGTCACTCTCCAGAGGCTCCTGATGACCTCCCGATCCTAATCAGCTTTGACATCAAAGCTGCATGCCCATCCTTAGGATGGGGATTTCTGTTTGCCGCCCTCGTAGCTCATGGAGTTCCCCCAGGCTACCTCAATGGAGTTCTGGCCCTTTCACGACGCTCCTGGTGCATGGGCCCGAATTGGCGGCCAGCTACAGTACATGTTTGAAATCGGTTCTGGCGTTTTCCAGGGATGTCCACTGTCAGGTTCAACATGGGCGCTCGCCTTTGACGCCCCTATCCGTCATTTAATTAGCATGTCGGGGCTTGTCCTTGCTCGCATCGCCCCCCCCCCCCCTTTCGGGCCATCGGTGACCTCGCAGGACTCGAGCTTCAGATCCAGAAGACAGCGATTGTGCCCCTATGGGCACCTCTGACGCCCGATGTTCAGAAGCTCACACAGAGGTTTCTCGAGTTTCTCACTCCCGAATGGCAGCATGTACATATAGCAGGATACGCGCGATACCTAGGGGCCCTCGTCGGCCCCGAGGTCACACTAGATCTCCAATGGGAAGCAGCATTCGACACATATTGGCCACGCGTTGCACAGCTTGCCGCCAGCGCCCCAGGCCCAGCAGTCGCAATCAAACTATATAACGCATGTGTTATAACCGTTCTTTCTTATCTCACCCAGCATTTTCCGCCCCCACCCCCCCTCTCCCAGCCACGTTCCTTTGCCGCGAACGGGGCAAGTTGCACAAGATCCTGAGAGCACCCCCCAACTCCTGGCGCCTCGTCGACCTCCTCGGCATTCGTTCGTGGTCGTACTCGCCCCCCCCCCCCCCTAGCTCTAGTCACATTGTCGCTGGCCTCAGCCTGGCGGGCGGCAACAGTAACGCTCCCGCGATGGCCGCCTCTCTTTCATGCCCTTCAGCGTGCGCACGACCAACTGAATCCAGAACTTTCCTTCGCGGACCTGGCCCAGGCCCAAATTCGGGCCGCTGTCTCTCCTGTCTTTCGGAAGAGCTACGGAATAGTAGAGTGCTGGCACGCACTTGGCAAAGCGACACCACCACATAAAGTCCCGCTGCCCATGCGGCAGCAAGCTAAGCGAGCGGCAGAAGCCGAGCTGATGTTTGCCACTCAGCAGCAACGGAGGGCCAAGGTTCAGCGGACGCTCACCTTGGTCCTCCACGCCTCCCTCCTCCCCGACAAGTTCGCCGAAACCCTGGCCCGCCGCTTGCACGCAGCGATGCCCACAGTACAGATCCCAGCGAATCTCGACGAGCGCTGGCAGACGCTCGCAACAGGGCTATCTAAGAAGGAAGCCCCCGCGATCCGCTGTGCAGTTTAGAAGGCGCTGGCAGGAGCATGGTGGACAAGCCGCCGCTTCCCACTCGGCCCGCGCAGGAGTTGCTTGCTAGGATGCAGCGGCTGCCCAGACCGTCTCGGCCATTACTTATCCTGCCCCCGCTTCCTGCACTTCCTTGCCCTGCCCCGTGCCTTCCTCTCGCCCGACCCCCTCGCCCGCATCGGCCTGGGTACGGTTGGGAAGCGCGACGTCCTTGAACACTCACTGGCCGAGTCCATACGGCGGACCGCTCTTTCATTTCACTTTTACAACAAGATACGTGCTTGCAATATCGCCGCGCCGGGCGCCGCGCGTAAGTACAAAGCAGGCACAAAATGCCTGGCCACTGCACTGCATGCCTTGAGGCCATAGAGGCCCAGGGACTGACGGAAGGTACGGTCGCTCCTCCTCCTCCTCCTCCTCCTCCTCCTCCATTTCCTCCTCCTCCATTTCCTCCTCCTCATCATCTTCCTCCTTATCATTCCTCCTCCTCCGCCTCCTCCTCCTCCTCGTCCGCCTCCTCCTGCTCGGCTTTTTAGTTCCTAGTCCTCCTCTTCTTCCCCCGGGGGGCGGCGCGAGTGCGCGCAGCTAGTCGCGCTTCGCGATTCGCGCAGCAGGGGGTCGGAAATCAGGCGCCTTTGGGGGTGGGGGGGCTCGCCGCTCGGGGTCAGGACGAGGACGAGGAGGACGAGGACCAGATCTTTCTCAGACGATGATTCTGGTTTTCTCCGTCTCGGCGCCTTCCTTCATTTTGGCCCCTGGGGCCCGTCACCGGGGCGGAGAACTGCTCCCAGGCAGGGGGGCGGAAACTCTGGGGCTGCGGATTGAAGAAATCAGATCGGAGGGTGTCTGGGGACGGAGGAGGGGGTCGAGGGTGGGGGAGGGCTCTCTGTCTGAGCGCTGTGATGAACCAGAAGGGGCAGCAGAGACAGCCCACAGGAGCACCCCGCCCCGAGACGGAGCCGAGGCCCCGCTGGGCACAGGCACCCTTGCGGTGGTGGCCCCCGCTGCTCGACTGGGCCACTGGAGCCAGCGAGTGGCTCTCCCGTCAGGCTGGCGGCCCTCACGCCGCCTGGCCGCAGGCGCACCGCCTCGCTCGCGCGCGGGCCGCCGGCGCGGCGGGCCTGCCGCACCCCTGATGGCACCCGAGTGCAGGCATTCGTGGGGCGGAGTCTGAAGTCTGCGGCAGTTTCACGAGTGGAGGGCGGGCCGTGTTCAGAACGTGGCTCTCGCTTCAGCGCCGCGCACACGTTGGCCTTAGAAGTGTGCTAAGGTTTCAAGGATAGATGGCGGCCCGTTGTCAAAAGGTGGGTCTCGTTTTTTTTTTCAGCGCCGCGCGCATTCGCCCCAAAAGCGTGCAGCAGCCTCGAGGATGGAGGGCGATCCCTTTGCAACATGTGTCTGTCGCTTCAGCGCCGTGCACATGTTCATTTAATCGAAGAAGAAAACGCCATATTCATAAACTTTTGGCGTTCCGCGCGGAGCGCCAAAAGTTTTCTATCAAAAGCTGGTAACATCAGATGTTGAGCATGATACGCATTTTTCAGTGCATACTTCTGGCGCCGAGCAAGAAGGGCTCGGGGGCTCTGGCAGTGATCTTTCACGATGGCTGTTGCTTCGCCTGTGTCCCCGGACATCCGACTAGATTTGTTCGATCCGCGGCCTCTGAGGTCTTCGAACCCTTTCCCGCGGGACAGTTGTTCGTCCCCGATTCATGTTTGATGGACGCGCGGCCCGAAAACCAGGCCCGATGAGGCCGAACTCCAGAGAAGACGTTGGCAGTGAAAACATGTTTTCGGAAATGAGGCAGCTCTCGGACACTAAACGAAGTATCTCCGTGGATGTGGGGGCGCGGCCAGACCCGAAAGGAAACCAGTACCTCACGCAAGTCACCTTGCCGCAAGTCGGGACTCACTTGCACGCCCTCTCGGCCCAGCGCTGCTTGAATAGGCGGGAAAGGGGAGGGGGGCGAAATACCATGCAAGTAGACATGCCTAGGTCTACAGTAAGGCTCCAGAGAGATATGACATCGTCGGAGATCTGCGTCCAACCCTGAGATCCAACGTCGCAAACAAAAATGCAACGTCGTAAAATAACTCGACTGGAGCCCTGCGTAATCATTCCAGCTGGATCGATCCGTCAGGGCCCCGTGGCCCGAAAGAGGGCGAAAGCGACCGTGGCGAAACCTTTGGGACGCCAGGATCTCGAGGCAAGAGGATGGCAAGGACAAGGGCAAACCATCGCCCGTGGCGACTCGCGTCGTTTCGTCGCCGCCGCCGCCGCCACCGCCGCCGCCACCGCCGGCCGCCGCCGCCGCCGGCCGCCGCCGCCGCCGCCGCCGTCGCCGTCGCCGTCGCGGTCGCGTCGCCGTCGCCGTCGCCGACTCTAGTCGCCATGGGTCTCAGGGCAGGGTGCCGCTGCAGGCGCGCTGGCAGAGCCCACGCCCTCTGGCGAGCAGCAGCCCTCCGCCGCGGAGCCCGCGCCCACGCCCTGGCTGGCGCCCTGCGGCGACCAGCCGCCATTCCGTGCGGAGGAACCCGCGCTCGCCGCGGGGCCCACTCCCGCGGAGCCCGCCAGGCGGCCAAACGAGGGGTGATGACTCACTTCAGGGGAGGAAGAGGTACGTGCCCCTGTCGCTACCCTTCCCTCGTCTTCGCCGCTTTGGATCTTCTCGGAGGCCCCCGCCGCCACGGCTGGATCCGGGAGAGGTCTGGGGAGTAGCGGTATCGGTACGGCTTGGTTTCCCAGAAGTTGGGGGGGTATCACGGCGGGGTCCGTGATGTCTCCCAGAGTTCGTGCCTATCGGTCCTTCTTTCGTGCCGCCTCCTGGCCCCCTCTTGGACGCCCCCCCTCCATGGACGCCCCCGAGGAGCCCGCCGGGCTCGACGGTGCGCTCGGCGTGCCGCAGCCCGCGGCGGCGGAGGAGCCCCAGGTCCGTCGGGCGCTCGGGGTTCGGACTTCGGGGTTCGACGAACCTCGAGCCCTCCCCCTCATTCTTCCGGACCTTCCACCCTAACTTTCCGCCCCTCTTTCGATTTGATCTATGTGGGTCCATTTGAATTACGTAAGGTTTCCATGAGTTTCGATGGATTCTTCCGCACCGTTCCGCGGAGGTCAGAAGGTATGGAAGGTGGAGGTGGAGGGTGATCTCCGCCGATATGCTCTTTTCCGAACCGGGCGTCTTCCTTCGGTTATGGCTCCCGGGGGACACTATCTGGCCCCAGGGCCATCGGCAATGTATCATGGGACGAAACATTGTCCCAAGGGAAGCGATCGGAATGTCGGGAGCCGCCGAAGGTCCAGCGGGCGCTCGAAATTAGAAATGTCAGGATGGTCTACTGGCGACATTCTTTGTCCTCTGGCGATACGGGCGTTACCAGAGGCTGGGGGGAGGGGGACGGGGCCAGCAACGTGACGTTTCGCGCCCGCGCCTTAGAATGGCCAGTACCCAGACGGCGACAGCGCGGTGGGGGGTGGGGTGGCGGGGCCGGTAACGGCCCTGATCGGGAACAACATGAAAGTGGTCTCCAGAGGTAATGAGAATTAGATGTTCCAGTAATTGCATTTGTTTCCTTACTTATTGATGTTCCACATGGGCTGCAGACCAAGGGCAGCTGGGTACTGCGGAATTTCTGGAACTTATCTCGATCCAATCGTATTATGACATCATCCAGCTGCCTGCGGCAAATCCCGCCACCATGGTGATGATAAGGTTGATGATGATGATGATGATGATGATGATGATGATGATGATGATGATGATGATGGTGATGATGGTGATGATGGTGATGGTGATGGTGATGGTGATGGTGATGGTGATGGTGATGGTGATGGTGATGGTGATGGTGATGGTGATGGTGATGGTGATGGTGATGGTGATGGTGATGATGGTGATGGTGATGATGATGGTGATGATGAGGAGGAGCAGGAGGAAGAGGAGGAGGAGGAGGAGGGTGAGGATGCGGATGAGCATGAGTATTGTGGTGGTGATGATGATAATAAGGATGCTGCTGGTGGTGGTGGTGACGATGTTGATAATGCTGATGGTGATGACGATTGTGGTGGTGATGCAAACGCTGATGCTGATGCTGCTGTTGTTGATGATGATGATGACGATTGTGGTGGTGATGCTGATGACGATGACGCTATTGATTACGTATGATGATGCTGTCGATGATGATGATGATGATGATGATGATGATGACGATGACGATGCTGATTCTGATGACGAGGATGATGCTGATGACGATGATGGTGGTGGTGATGATGTAGCTGACTCTGCTGATGATGCTGGTGATGCTTCTGCTGATCTGATGATGATAGTGGTAACGATGCTGATGATGCTGATGATGACGATGTTGATGATGACGATGCTGATGATGCTGATGCTGATCATGATGATTTTGATGTTGCTGATCATGATGATGCTGATGCTGATGCTGATGATGATGATGATGATGATGATGATGATGATGATGATGATGATGATGACGATGATGACGATGCTGATGCTGATGCTGATGCTGATGATGATGCTGATGATGATGCTGATTCTGATTATGATGCCGATGGTGGTAAGAACGGCGAGGGAGGAGGAGGAGGAGGATAAAGAGCAGCAGCAGAAGGAGAACGATGAGGATGAAGACGACGAGGAAGGCAGTCACAAGTGACAGCGCAGCTCTCATGGGATTCGTTCGGACCACTTGGAACTACCTTGGCCTCATGTGAGGCAGTCTTGGGGGTCCCTTGGTGACGTCTTGGGCCGTTGTGGGGCCCTCTCACGCTGTCTTGGGGCTCAATTGGGCTGTCTTGGGACCCTCTTGGCCGTATGGTGGTTGCCTGGGGGCTGTCGTGGGGCCGTCTTGGCTGGCCAGAAAGGCCGTCTAAGGCCGTCTTGAGTCCCACGGGAGGCCCTCTTGGGCCGTCTTGGGACCATCTTGGATGCCTCTTGGGCCATCGTGTGCTCTCTTGGGTCATATTGGGACCCTCTTTGGAGGCCTCTTTGGCCGTTTTGGGGCCATCGTGGAGGCTTCCTGGGCCGTCTTGAGCTGACCCAAGTCCATAGAGGGGAGAATGCGAAAATCATTCAAACACCCAATGGTAATAAGTGATTTGGGCTTCTTCGGACACTATTGGAGGTTCTCGCGTGGCCCTTTTGGGCCCGCTGGGAGGTATCTTGGATCGTCTTTAAGCCGTAATGGCCGCCTGGGGGCAATCTTGGGACCGTCTTCGAGGCATCTTGGGCCATCTTGGTGTCCTTGGTTGCCGGCATGGCCCGTCATGGAAGTTCGGGGCGCATAACCATGTTGTTTTACAAGGGATCGTGGCCTCGGAATGCGGTTCCATTGTTTTTATGAGTGATCGTGGCATCTGGAAGGGGGAGCGATGCATGCAGGGGACTATGTGGGGAGGGGGGAATCCCCTAATTAGAACACATCAGAGTGAGGGGGCCGAACGGTCATTCACTGTCCCTGGGTGCGTGGCTGAAGTGGGATTCCGCGGTGCGGATTCTCGTTGTTGTTTGTTGTTGTTTGTTGTTGTTTGTTGTTGTTTGTTGTTGTTTGTTGTTGTTTGTTGTTGTGTGTTGTCGTCGTCCCACCCGCAACCCGCCCCGCGACCCACCCGCGCCCACCCCGCGACCCACCCCGCGACCCACCCGCGACCCACCCGCGACCCACCCGCGAACCACCCCGCGACCCACCCCGCGACCCACCCCGCGACCCACCCGCGACCCACCCCGCGACCCACCCGCGACCCACCCCGCGACCCACCCCACGACCCACCCGCGACCCACCCGCGACCCACCCGCGAACCACCCGCGACCCACCCCGCGACCCGCCCGCGGCCCACCCCGCGACCCATCTGCGACCCACCCGCGACCCGCCCACGACCCACCCGCGACCCACCCGCGACCCACCCCGCGACCCACCCGTGACCCACCTTCGATTCAAACCACGTTCAAGGTACAAACCACCATTTTCGGCTCCTGCGGCGGGCTTTTTTTGCATTCCTTCCAGGTAGAGAGCCCGCGACCAACTCGCGACCAACCTGCGACCCAAACCACGTTCAGGGTACAAACCACATTTTTCGGCGCCTGCGGCGGGCATCTTTTGCATTCGTTTCATGGAGAGCCCGCGGCCCACCCGCGACCACGTTCAGGGTACAAACCAAATTTTTCGGCGCCTGCGGCGGGCATCTTTTGCATCCGCTCCCGGTGGAGAACCCGCGGTCCACCCGCGACACATTCCACGTTCAGTGTGCAAACCAAATTTTTCGGCGCCTGCGGCGGGCTGCTTTTGCATTCCTTCCAGGTGGAGGTGGAGAGCCCGCGACCCAAACCACGTTCACTGATCAAACCAATGCCCCACAAGCGCAGCGGCGGATTTTTGCATGCCGTCTGAGCCCGCAACGACCTCTTTAAGCCCCGCGCATCCACACCAGCCCGTCCAGCAACTTTGTCCTGGCGAGGTGTCTTGATCAGAGAAGTCGGGGAGCATAAAGTGGAAAAAAAGATTGCGTTGGCGTTATCTTGGGCAAAGAGGGGGAGGCAGGAGGAGTAAAGAGGGGACGAGGAGGACGCGAAAGAAGAGAGGATGTAAGGAGAATGTGGAGAAGGAGGAGGAGGAGGAGGAGGAGCAGGAGGAGGAGCAGGAGGAGGAGCAGGAGGAGGAGGACGAGGAGGGGGAGGAGGGGGAGGAGGAGGACGAGGAGGGGGAGGAGGGGGGGAGGAGATGATGATGGACGACAATGGGAGGACGATGATGGAGGCCGATGAGGGGGAGGACGACAATGGGAGGACGATGATGGAAGGACGAGGGGGGAGAGGGAGGACGAGGAAGAAGAGGAGGAGGAGGACGAGGTGGAGGAGGAGGAGGAGGATGACGATGACGACGAGGACGAGGACGAGGAAGAGGAGGAGAGGAGGAGGAGGAGGAGGAGGAGGAGGAGGAGGAGGAGGAGGAGGAGGAGGAGGAGGAGGAGGAGAAGAACGCCATCGACAGGGAAGGTGGGGGCCACGAGGTCCGCCGGCTCGACGACGCCCGCGTCGCTCGCGCCCGCCCCCTCACTCTTATCCGCAATTGCGGGGTGCTACGTACTAATCCACAACACAGCCCTTGGCATCGTTTCACGCCTTAACGTGCAAAAAAGGTACGGTGGCGGATTCTCGTCCTACATGGGGCCCCCTGCCTCCCCTCTGGAAGCCCATCAGGCGTCTTAGATGGCCGCCGCCCTCGTGCCACCCCCTTGCGCGCGGCGCCAAAGACGGGGGAACACGTATCTCCAGCGTGTTGGCAGGAATCGGTACGGAAGGTTTTTGGGCAGTTTTTCGACCTCTGGAGATATTCGGCGGGCCCTAGAGCGGTCCAAAGGCGCCTCGTGATTGAAAAAGGTCCCTGGGGAAAGAGTCAGGCGTTCTGGTGGGGATTTCGCTTTCGAAACGTCAAAGCGTCGGATGATGGATTCGTTCTCCTCCACAATTCCAGCTTCGAGTTTTTGTGTTGGCGCTCTCCGCCCGCCTTGGGCCTCCTGGAGACCTCTGCGTGGCCAAGACTGATTCCCCTCAAAAGTTCTGGCCTGCACGCACCTCAGGATGGGCCCTGATGTCGAGTTTTGCCCCCAGACCCAGATCCCCTCGCGCCGTGGAAAATCACGACCGACGGTATTTTGCCGTTTTCGGCTCCGGGGGGCTCTCGCTGGGTTCCAGGACCGTCAAACAACAGCTCGGGGCGAGCAGCCGGTTCCAGGGAATGGGTCAGGTCACCGCACGGACTGCCGCTGCACGAGGAGGAGGGGAAGAAGGGGGAGGAGAAGGAGGAGGAAGAGGGGGAGGAGGAGGAGGAGGAGGAGGAGGAGGAGGAGGAGGAGGAGGAGGAGGAGGAGGAGGAGGAGGAGGAGGAGGAGGAGGAGGAGGAGCAGTGGGGAGACCTCCAGGGAGGCAAACATCACGACGGAATCTACGTACAGAAGCCATGCGCCAGCCCTAGGCACGGCGCTCGGGCACCATTTCCGCCACAGCGCCGGGGTTCCGTCAGGGCGCACGCGGCCATGCGAATGCGAAGCGCACACGTCACGTCGGAGCGCCCGACTGTGGAGCAGAAAGGCAGGTCGCATCACGACTGTGAACAGGAAACGAGGAGGGAGAGGGAGAGGAGGACAAGGACGAGGGGGGATTGAAACGTTTTGCGACCACACAGGATCTTTCTGCAATGACTTGTAGACACGCTGAGCCCATGGCAACTGTGGGCGGCCGCGTCTCCGGACCAAATGCCACTGCTTTCATGCATCTGTCCCGGGTGCACACTAAAGATCTGAGATTTCTACAGTCTGGCAGAAAGCATAGTTTCTGTATACGCCTGTACGTGTCGCCTGCGCAACGTCTCACTCAGACGGTCTGCCCGCGCTGTAGACAGGACTGTGGCGTTCGACACCCTGGAATAGTACGAAAGAAGGCTTTTGGTAATATTTGGCCTCTGGGTGCCTTTTGGCCGATTCCAGGGGCCGCCCAGAAGCGGCCCAGCAGGAAGAGCCGGCCCCGGGGAGGGGGTCAGGCCTCCAGAAGTGCACTGTGTAAGAAGGTCGTGACGTCGGAGGTAGACTCAGGTGGGGAAGCGTCGGCCCCCGATCACCCACCCATTCGTCGCCACGATGGGGGTCTGATAGCGGACCCTGCCCAGGAGCGTGCGGTTACACTATCGGGATCCTTCCTCCGATCTATATCGGAGACGCATTGCCGATTCGCGCGCGCGACGTTTCCCTCCTGAGCCGGTCCCCCCCTCTCGCTGCCACTCAGAGGTATGTGACCCTGGCGCAGGGTGAACCCAACTCTTCCCAGAGGGGCCCATAATGCCATACGGCCTCCAGAGCGCCCCTCGCGATGCCCAAGGAGGGCTCCGAACGGTCGGGGGAGAGATCCCCAAACGTCTCGGGCCTGGACCACCTCCCCCGAGATCCGACGCCCCAGAGCTCAGCCCCGAGATCCCCCGTCGGGGATTTTCGGGTCAAATTGCAGCAACGTCGAAGAGCACGACTGGACACCTGCAGGGCGGCCCCATCTGCGGCACCTCTCGAGCCGGAGCGGCCCGTGGGGGGCCCAGCGCCAGATATCCCGTGTGAGAGCGCCTGGCAGGGCGCGAGTTACACGATGTTTTGGCAATTTCGTGGGCCGTTCTTTCTGATCGCGTGATGCAGCGAAGGCGGAACGAAGGCAGAACGAGGGAACGCGAAAGCAACATCAAAACTGAAAGCCCTGCTTAGCTCGCGCCATGGCGCCTAGTGTGAAACGATGCGACGCCATGATGTCCCCAGGCATCTGACGTCAAGACTTCTTCCACGATGCCAGAGGTCCATGGACCGCAGTTTGGGGGTCCAGTTCTTCATTGCGGGTGAGGCCGACGATTGGCAAACGTTTCCGTCGTGAGTTTTGTTCGCAGCGCGGGGATGTCTGGTTCTGGCAGCCTGCGAGACTCTGGTCCGTCCTCCTGCCCTGCGCGCTCCGAGAAGGCAAGCGCGCCGCGGGCGTTGCCGCCGCTGGAGCTGGGGCGGGCCGCAGACCCCGAGGCCTGGCGGCGCGCTCATACACAGGGCTGCACGCCAGTCGTTGACAGCAGGTATTTCTGGAGATCCAGATCCCAATCTGCTTCAAGCGCCCTCCTACTTTACGAGTCGGTGTGTTTTAGTTGTCTCCTGCCATTCTTCTGGGCAGACTCGAACCCAATCTAGTCTGTTCGCCTTCGTCCTTGGTAATCCCGGACCCACAGAGTCTGCACCACCGCTGCGGAGGCCAAGTCCATACGGAGTTAGTCCATACGGAGTGCTCTGCCTCGGACTTGATTTATTCCGCCTGGACTTAGCCTCTCCTGAGAGGACGTTATGTCCATGCGGAGTAAGTCCGCACGGAGTGCTCAGTCTCCGTATGGACTTACTCCGTCTGAATTCTTCACGCTTCGCGTATCCCCACCAGCCCATCTCAAAACAGCAATTCTAGCGAAACATGCCGACAGTCGTGTTTTTCAGGCGTGTTTCCGCCTGCCCCCGCATATCTCCCCTGTTCCTCCTTCCTCCCGCCTCCTTGTACATCCTCCTTGTGGTGGGAGCGGGAGAAGGACGAGGCGGAGGAGGAGGGAGAGAAAGCGCTCCTCGTGGTTTGAGTCGTTTGGGGTTTCTCGTCCTGGTGTGAGTCGTTCGGGCCCTTCTTCCTGGTGTGAGTCGTTCGGGCTCTTCGTGGTGTGAGTCGTTCGGGCTCTTCGTCCTGGTGTGAGTCGTTCGGGCTTCTCGTGGTGTGAGTTGTTCGGGCCCCTCGTCCTGGTGTGAGTCGTTCTGGCCCCTCCTCCTGCCCGTCCAGAAACGATGCCCAGGCGAGTAGAGGGTCGTCCTGATGGGCTTTTCGGCGTCTTGGGTGCCTGGGGGGGGGCCTCTTTGGGCCGTTTGGGATCCTCTTGGGGGCCGCCTGGGGGCCTCTTGGGGCCATCTTGGGGCCTCTTGGTGCCTCCTGGGCGCTTCTTGGGGCCATCTTGGAGGAAATCGATCAAAGAAGACGGGAGCTTTAATTAGCGCTGCCCCCTTCAGAAGGCCAAAATGGGGCCAAAACCTTAGTAGAATCAGTGATTTTGGCTTGAAAGAAGAGGGGAGCTTTAATTAGCGCTGCCTCCTCAGAAGGCCAACATGGGGCCACGACCGCAGTAAAATCAATGATTTTGGCTTCAAAGAAGAGGGGAGCATTTTTCTGCCTCCCCCCGTCGGGGCCAGAATCCTCGTGAGGGGTGTCGTTTTTTAGCCCTCCTAGGAGTCGAAAAAGACCCCTCCAACCACCCGCGGGGCGCCCTCTCCAGGCCCAGGGGGAGGGGGTAGGGGGAGGGGTAAACCCCTCCCCAAAGGGAAAGAAGGGGGGTTGAGAACAGAGCGGGCTCTCTAAACCACTCACGCCCAAAGGGCTGGTGGGATTTACGTAGCTTTTCCTGAACTACGTTTGCCGGAGGCTGCCAAGAGGGGGTTGATGATTACGGGAAGGGGGCTGAATACATGGATGGGACCATTCTATCTCCCCTGGCTTCATGGCCCATATTTGTTTTCAATACTGTCCTCTGCCGCCCTCAGGCCGCACACATGCCACGGGCAATGATTTACGACCCCTTCCTGGTCGTCACCCCCGAGTTTGTTGCCGTGGAGGTTGATCGGGTTACTGTTTCCTCGGTGGGTCGCAAGGTGTGTCAAGGCATGCGATGACAACATGTCGCCTGCGCATCGTCATTTGGGCACGCGGTTTCTATGCGGTTATGCAGCAGTCAGTGGACCATTTAGCACGTGATGTCTTTGGCTTCGTCTCGAAGAAGGGGTGCATGCAGCTTGTTGTTCCTCTAGGCTAGTTCTTCTGCGTGGGTGATGCCAGAAAGCTCCTCCTCCCCCCCCTCCTCCTGAGCCAGCCCTCTGAGCTGCCCCCCCCCTCACTGACGTTGCCCCGCAGCCCCTCTCGGTGCGCGCACCGCCCGAGTCCGCGGGCGCCCGAGCCCGGCGGCCCGCAGGCCGAGGTCGTCTCCGAGGGCCCTCCCGATGCCGGAGGCCCCGGGGAGCCGTCGGCGTGGACGGGGCACGACTGGCCGGAGGCGCCCTCGGGCGGGGAGCGGTCGATCTGGCGGCGGGGTCCCCGCCGCCAGATCGACCGCGCGGGCAATGCGCGGGCACGAACGGCTGGCCCTCCGTGACCGCCAACACTGGATGTCAGTCATACCCGATCATATACATGAGCGATAGATTTAGCATACATGTGCCATTCAACCCCCGTCAAAGACCCCCTGTTGCAGACCGCTTCTTTCATCCTCCAAGGGGAGGAGGAGGAGGAGGAGGAGGAGGAGGAGGAGGAGCCGGAGGAGCCGGAGGAGCCGGAGGAGCCGATGAGGCCGCTCATGAGTCGGGCAGGGAACGGGCACGGCTGTCCGGAGGAGCAACGCCCGCCGTCGGCGTCGTCGCCATCGCCAGTAGCCGTCGTTGGCGTCGGCGCCGTCGAGGTCGTCGCCACCGTCGGCGTCGGCGTCGGCGCCGTCGGTAGCCGCCGTCGTCGTCATCGGCCATCCTCCAGCGTATTGGAAGGTCGGTTATTTTTGTTTGTTGCTTGTTTTTCTCAGCATGTTTGTCGTTCTGGGTGCCGCGTTCGGGCACAGAGGTCATCGCAAACATATCTGGGACGAAACAGTTGTCATTGGGGGAGGATCGAGAGATCTCGGGCCCGCGCACCGGACAGATCGCTACGTGAACCTCATACCATAATTATGCCGTACCATAATTCTGCTGGAGTGGCGGGTGGCCCGGCCCCAGGCTGGCGCACCCTCCCGGATTCCCCCCCCCCCTTTTGGACCCCCCCCCCTCCGGAGCCTCAGCCTGGGCCTCCCCCCGGCCGCCCTGGTCGCCCAAAAACACCCTCCAGCGGACACAAGACGAGAGCGGCGCAATATGGCCCAAGACGCTCCAGGATAGCCAAAATTGCTTCGTTTCTTTTGGAAAGCATAGATGTTCAGCAGATTCGCTTCTTCGGTCTTAGCAGCGTCCAAGACGGCCCACGAGGCCTCCAAGATCGCCCCAAGACGGCCCAAGAGGCCCACAGCCCCAAGACGGCCCAAGAGAGCCCCCAAGACGGCCCAAGAGAGCCCCAAGACGGTCCAAGAGAGCGCCCAAGATGGTCCAAGCTGGCCCCAAGCGGGGCCCAAGCGAAGTCACATTTCGAGCCCTCCGCCCCAAGTGGTACCCACAGACCGCCAGCAGGCCCCCAAGAGGCCCCCAAGAGATTCAAAAGAGGCTCCTAAAAGGCCCCCAAACAGCTCCCAAGAGGCCCCAAGAGGCTTCAAACCTGGCTCCAAGAGGCGCCTGAGAAGCATGCCAAGAGAACCCCAACAGGTATCCAAGAAGCCTTTGACCCACAACCCAGGCACGGTGGCAGTACGAGACGCGAGTGGACAGCACGCCCCCGCGGGCAAGGATGGGTGCCTGGGTGCCCTTCAAGGTTGAAGTCGCGGTGTGTCCCGACATGTCTGGTGGACGTCGGGATACTCTCATCCGTTTGGATTTTGTCCGCTATCCGGGAGTCTCTTGGGCGTCTTTCGTATTTTTTGTTAGGGCCGTCTGTAGGGCTACCTTGGCTGTCTCGGGGTCTCCCTGGGTGTGTTCAGAGAAGCGTCCAGGAACACCCTCAAGGACAAATGAGTCCAAGGCCCCCCGGCCGGCCCCTCGACCACAAATGTGGGTGTGCAGGCGCTTGTGGGGCCTCGAAGGCCGAGAAAACGCCTCCAGAAACACACTATGAGTCCCAAAACGCTCCAAGAGGGTCACAAGAGGGTACCAATACGCCCAACGATTTCTCCAAGACGCCCAAGATGGCCTCCAGATCGCCCAAGAGACCCCCAAAACGCTCCAAGAGGCCCCCACGAGGCCTCCCAAGAGAGCCCACAGGCAAATTCAAATTTTTGTCCGCGAAAGTTGTTGAAGGATTTCGGGATTTGGACTTCCTCGCCTTTTCGGCTTTCCGACGCTCCAGGGCGGCCCGAGAGACAGCGACGGACGCCACGAGACTGCCAAAGAAGACTCCTGGAGAGAGCCCCAAGACGCCCCGAGAGAGCCTCGAGACAGCCGAAGAAGCCTCCAAGACCGCCCCAGAGGCCCCCAGGACGACTCCGAGAGCGGGTCCGGAGGGGGGGCCCGAGGGACATTTCGAGCTCTCGGCCCCCAGAGGCCCCCAGGAAGCGACCACTAGGAAGCCTCCAAGAGGCAACCCGGGCGGGGCCCCGAGGGCTGCCAGACGGCTCCGGAGGCCGCGAGGACCGGCTCAAGACCGCCCAAGATGCCCCTAGAGCCCGAGAGCGTTCCGAGACGCCCCGAAAGTGGCCTCAAGAAGGGCCAAGAGTTCCCCAAGACGCCCGAGAGGGCTCCAAGCCGCCCCACCTAAGAGGGCCCCACTCTCATTGGGAAGCGTGTATTTTTTAGCATGTTCGCTGCCTTGGATTCCACAGCGCCCGAAACGACCCAAGGAGACTTCAAGACGGCTCACCAGAGTTTCAAGCAGGGCCCAGAGGGCCCGTCTTGGGCCCGAGGGCGCCCAAGACGAGAGCCCCGAGAGGGCCCCACCGGAGGCCCCAGAGGGCCCCACGAGGGTGCCAAGAGGGGTCGTGGGGCAGAATCTTGCAGGGTGTGGCTCCTCACATACCCCCGAGGCCCATTGGGAGGCCCCCAAAGATTTCAAGAAACCCCCAGATCCCGAGTGGCCCCAAAGAGACGCAGAGAGGCTCCCAAGAGGCCTTGCAGAGGCTTCAAGAGGCCGTTGAGAATCACGCCGCGAGCCCCCGAGAGGCGTCCAAGACGCCCATAAAGACGTCCCTAACGAATGATCCATGTCAGAGGTGTGCCGACATGGGCGGGGCGGTGGGATGCGAACCTTGCCGCTAGGGCAATTGGTTTTTGGGCACGATCAGTATGAGCAGTGAGTCGAAATACGCGGGCGGACGCTATGCGAATCTTCCCACAAGGGCCGCACGTGGAATTATATCCTTCTGGGGCACAGTCCGTGTGAAAGGTGGGACGCGTGCGAACTTTGTCCCTGGCGCTGGGGCGCGATCCGTGAAATTGGCGGGGCGATGCGATGTGATCCGCGTGATTGGAACTCTTTCACGTCGAGTTCACACCATGTGTGGGTCACTATTTCAGTCAAGGGCTGCGGCTTGCTAGTGCCTGGGGTGCGCTTCGCGCCGCCGCCACCGTCGCGGTGCCACCGCTGACTCCGTTTCGCCGCGGGCGTTTCGGGGCGAGCTTGGTGCCGCGCGCGCCAGGCTCCGCCCCTGCCAGGCCAACCAGGGGGCGTTCGGGAGTCCACTTCGGGATCCTCTTGCGGCACCACTCTTGGGGCTCCTCGTACGCCCTCGCGGCTTGCTTTCAGGGCTGAGGGGGCGCTTCCTTGAGCCCTCTCTTTTTGTTAGGGCGCCTCTTCGGTCCCTCCTGCACCCCGTTCCACGCTTGGGCCCTCCTTGGAGCCTCTCTCGGGGAACTCTTTGGCTGTTCTTGGGGGCCCTTTGGCCCTGTTTTGGGCTCCCCTTGGGGTGCTCTTCGGCACTTTATAGGGCGGCTCGTCCCTGGGATCCAGAGTTCCCAGAATCATAGGACTCGTTCGGTATGTTGCATTATTGTGCATTGTATTGCAGTGGATTCCGCTGTGTTGATTTCCGTTGCATGTGTAATTGCGTTGTTCTCGTTATCCACATTGCATTGGCGAGCATTGCTCTACTTTGCTTTGCTTTGATTTGTATTGTACTGCATTGCTGTGCATCTGTTTTGCTAAGTTGTGCTTGTAATGCTTCGAGCCGCATTGGACCCGCATCTGGTTAGATTCCATGGCAATGCGTTGCACTGCGCAGCCGTTTTGGTCACTCCATTGCTTGCCCTGGTGTGCATGGTTTCGCATTGAATATGACGCAGATGTGCTTGTCGGTAACTGGTACCTGCTATGCCCGCGTTATAGATCGGTAGTAGCTACTTCAGTGGCTATGTGGCCTTGTCAAGGACTGGGGCTGACTAACCTCAGCGCTCGCGAAGCGCGCGCGCGTGGTTCTAGTTTCCTACATGCTCCAGGCCTCCTTCTGCCCAGCCACACCCTCCCTTTTCTCCTTCTTCCCATCCTCTTCCTCCTCTTGTCCTCTCCACCTTCCTCCTCCTATTCCTCTGGGCTCCCAGATTGGAGACCAGGCTGTTCGGTCGGTTCGGTTGGCAAGCGCGCCCGCTCCGGCCCTGGAAAGGGTGGCCCATTGGCTTTGAGATTGTCCGTTTTGCATTTTTACTCCCAGGATGGTTCCCACCCCCGCACCGCGCCCCGCCGCCGCCGGCCCCCTGGCGCAGCAGCCGCTCGCGGGCCGCCGCGTGAACCGTCCCATGAGCGGCTCGCTACCTCCGCCCCCTCTTTCGGCCGCCCCCCCCCCGCTTCCCCCCCCCCTTCCTGCATGGTGGCACAATTTGCTTCAACAGTACCCACGTTTAGGCCTTTCCGCTAGCGCAGACGACCCCTGCCTCGCCGCCGACGTAAAATATCTGTTCGGTCGGTTCGGCTGCTTCGGAGTCGGTGGCGTTCGGGTGATTCGGTCCAGTCGGCGGCACGTCGTGCCTTCACTGGCGCCACATTGCCCCTCTAGGCTGCTTTCGGCCCGTCGTCGGTTCGGTCGGTGTTCGCTGCCGCTGCGGGGGAGAGGTCGAGAGCGGCGGCGGCGGCCGAGGCAGGTGAGGAGCCCGGGCGTCGCCTTTGTGGCCGGGAGGCACAGCACGGCCCTCTCGGCGGCCGGCTCGGTCAGCGGTCGATCTGTCGGCGGGGAGGTTGATGATGATGATGATGAGGAGGAGGAGGAGGAGGAATAGGAGGAGGAGGAGGAGGAGAATTATGATCACGAGTCAGGCAGGGACTGGGATGAATCGTCCCAGAGCTGTCCAGACCGCTCTCTGACCGCTACGGAGGGCTCTGGGATGGCCGCGATGCCCGATACATCCTCCAGAACCAATGGATCCCAGAGATCAACGATTGCTCCTGGTCCGAATTTGTCCCAGTCCTGATTTTGGCTTACGAAGAGGATCATGAGGAGGGTGAGGAGGAGAAGGAGGAGGAGAGGGAGAAGGAGGAGGAGAGGGAGGGATAGGAGGAAGAGGAGGAAGAGGGAAGAAGAGGAGAGGAAGGAGAGGATGACTAGGAACTAAGAACTAGGAAACGCGCCGCCTCCTGGGGGAAGAAGAGGAGGACTCGCGCCGCCCCCCGGGGGAAGAAGAGGAGGACTAGGAACTAAGAAGCTGAGCAGGAGGAGGCGGAGGAGGAGAAGGAGGAGGCGGAGGAGGAGGAGGAATGATAAGGACGAGGAGGAGGAGGGAGGAGGAGGAGGAGGAGGAGGAGGAGGAGGAGGAGAAGGGAGGAGGAGGGAGGAGGAGGAGGAGGAGGAGAGGAGGAGGGGAGGAGGAGGTAGGAGGAGGAGGAGGAGGAGGGGGAGGGGGAGGGGGAGGGAGGAGGGGAGAGGAAGAGGAGGAGGAGGAGGAGGAGGAGGAGGAGAGGAGGAGGGAGGGGGAGGAGGAGGAGGAGGAGGATGAGGAGGAGGATGAGGAGGAGGAGGAGGAGGACGAGGATGGTCAACATGGTGATTTTTCCTTTCGGATGCCCCCAATGCACCCTCATCCGCAGCCAGGTAACAGATAAGAGGAGAGGAGGAGGACGAGGAGGAGGACGAGGAGGAGGAGGACGAGGAGGAGGAGGAGGACGAGGAGGAGAAGTAGGAGGAGGAGGAGGAGGAGGTAGACAATCACGCAGTTAGAGGGCGCAACAGGTCGGCTGCATCCAGATGCTTAATCCAGCTGTCAGGACTGGGCTTCCTGCAGGCTGTTTAGTTCTGCAGCCCAAGTGGACGGGGTCGATGGAGAGACGATCTGGGGTGCTTGCCGCAACGGGTAAAGTTCAAGTTGGTCTAGGCCTCGGGCCTCAGGCCTAGGATGGATTACGATCAGGAGGAGGAAGTGGAGCAGGAAAGGGGAAGAAGAGGGCAAGCGTAAACCCAGGCTGCATCAATGATGCTGTGCTATGCCGTCACTTCCCAAGTTCCCACGTCGCAGGTGCCAAGATGCATTCCTCCTCGCCACGGGAATATCCCAGTTGGAAGATGTGCACCCCACGGGGCTGCCATTTAATCGAGAGTTCTGTTTTGAGAAGGATTTGCGCCGAGGAGCGCAGAGAGGCAAGACTAAACGGTAGAGGACGTTCGTGAAAAAGGGGGCGTTTGTTCATGGAGGTGCTTTCCATCATACTTCTTTGCGCCGAGAAACGCACAGAGGCAAAGAGCCCCGTTCTGAAAATAGGGGTGCCCTCCATATTACAGCTACTGCGTCATCGTGCACGTCGGGTCGAGCACGTTGAGCAGGTCTCTTGCGAGAGCCCCATATGGAAACCTCCGTCGTAGAGTATGTTGCTTGCAGCTCGGGTCGTACATGTTGTGGACGTCTCAAGCGAATGCCACATCTTGAGCAGGAGCCGCCCACCACCGTTGTGGCTGTCCTAGCATTTAAGGACGAGGGCGCGCGGGGCTCAGGCGAGAGCCACATCTTGCAAAGGAATCGCCTTCCACCCTTGCGACTGCTGGAATGTTCGAATACGTCTGTGCGCGGCGTTGCGTCGAAACCCACATTTTGTTACGATGTGCCCTCCATCCTTGTGTCTGGCTCGTGCCTTTTGAAACTTGTAAAAGGCATGCGCGCGCCGTTACGGCAAGAGCCACATTTTGAAAACGAGCCGCCCTCCATCTTTGTAGCCTCTTTGACTCTCTGTGACTTTCAAAAACTCAGGAACATAAATGACCCGGAAGTCTCGAGCGAAGCGCTCGGACCGCCCCACCGACACATTTGGCTGTGCGACAGACTGGAGATGTGCACCTTGAAGGCGGATGACCACGAGGACCCTTCTGGACTCTAACTCTGACCTCTCCTGGGGCGCGTTCCGACCATAGCCTTTGGAGATTGACCGAACCGTGGCCTCGAGGAGCTTTTTTGGATGGTCAGGCACGAGGCAGGCCCTGGCAGAAGAGACGAGTCATTCCAGAGCGTTCTGGAGCCCTCTCGGAGCGCTTGGAAGAAGGGATCAGGCGCCCCAGAGCGTTCCGGGGCCCTCTCAGAGCGTTCCGAAGCGCTCTAGATCGGCCGCGGCGCACGATACAGCCTCCAGACCCGCCGTGTCTCAGAGACCTCGGACATTCCGTTCCGATGTGGTCTTGTTCCTGCCGTCGCCGCCATGTAAATCCCCGAAGCGGCCAACAACCTTTGTCCTCCAGCCCTCTTGATGAAGAAAAGGGGCCCTGAGGGAAACGGGTTCTAAAGTCAACCCGCATGGCAAGGATGATCGACTTCCCAAGGGTACCCTTCCAGGCTTGCCTCTTCAGTCATCCCCCGTCCATCCTCAACCACTTTCGATGGTCAGCCCCGCTCGAAGAGCCTCGGCATGGCCGCCCAAGGCCTTTGTATCCTTACCGCGCATCGTTCTACATGGGTTGACTGTAGACCCCGCGGTTTTCCCAGGGCCAGTTCTTCATCCTGAGCAGTCGTTTGACGGTCACTGAGCCCGTTCAGGGCCCCAGGGTGCCGAACGCGGCGACAAGTTTCCTGCAGGACATGTTTTTTCTGGGGTTATCATCCTCAGTGCCAAATCCTTTCTTGGTTTGCCCTGTCCTCCCTCGGCGCCCCTCTGGCTGGGGCGGAGCCCCAGCGGTGAGGAGGCACGGCGGGCGTGCGTCGTGGTTTTTGGCCTCGCACGTCGCACGGGGTCCCACATAGCACGCGACGGCAGCCATACAACTCCTCGGTTCTTTTTTTCCCTGCCGTGCCCCGCTTTCCTCGCTTTGTGAATCAACAGATTCAGCGGAGGGATTTGGCGATTTGTTCGGCCTCAGAAATGTCGAACGACTGCTCAGGTCGAAAGGCTGGTCACCGTGAAAGCGGTCGTGTCCTGAGGGCGTCCACGCTGTTAGCAAATCGCGGCGCAGGGGGGCCTGGGTGTCTGTCCCCTCTGGCATCTCGGCACTATTTCTGTCTGCCGTCCGACCGATCCTCTTCCTGCACGGCTCAGAGAGCCACTCCGAAGAGCGGCCATCGCCACCGTCCGAGCAGCAGAGAGAGCAGGCTAGAGTAAAGGCACAATTTCAGGACAGGTGTCCTGCATTTCTTAGGCTTGACCCAGCGGTCGCCTGCTGGGATTCTCTCCTAGGGCCATGAAGGAGAGGAGGCCTGGGGGAAATGGGTCCTAGATCCTAGACCCCAGGGCCTGCCCCAGGACCAGGTTTTCATCTGAGCCACGTTTGTTCACGGTTCCCGGGGCCCGTGGAGGGCTCCATGGGGCCCGAAAGCGGCGAAGAGTTTCCGGGGCCTTTTTTCCCTCTGGGGGACCAGGGCTCGAGCTCAACGGTGTTCTGGTGATTTCGTGGTCTGTCCTCGTTTTGATTGCGTTTCGCAGCACAGGCAGGACGAAGACAGAACGAGGGAAACTAGAACAAACAGATTTCCGAAAGCACTGTCTAGCTCGAGCCCTCCAGGGGGCACGCTCTTCCATTTCATGCCCAAGAGCGGAGGCCTTCGCCGCCGTCCGAAGGTCAGGGGGAACGTCAGTTTCACCACCCACCAAGCCACCCCAGTCCAACCCGAAGGCCTCAATTTGCCCTCCATTTCCAGTTGGGGGGTCGGGGAACATTGAAAAGACACCTATGGGACCCCGATATTCGGGTCTTCGGGTTGGGTTGGGGTGGTCTGGTAGGTAGTCACAGTTGGAGAGTGACCCCGGGGGGCCGGGGAGCACCGACCCCAGGTCGACCCTGTATCGCCGATCGGTGCCCGGGTGCCCCAGCCTGCCCAGGAGCGTGTGGTTTTTGTTTGCAGGCGAGTGACGGGGCTATTCGGACGCACCTCTATCGAGGATGGACGCCCCTCATCGTCTATCCCAGGATTGGCCTCCAAATATCTGATCCACTCGAGAAACCCACGAAGCCACGGATAGGGGTCGACATATCCCCTGTTACTCTTGCTGGGGCTGGGCGGCTCCGGCAGTCGTGGAGGCGCGGCGGGCGCGCGCCAGGCGCAGCTGCCAGAGCTCCGGTCGGAGGCCGGCCAGGCGTGGCTGCCGCCGTCATCGTGGCCGCCGCCGTCATCGTCGCCGACGTCGCCGTCGTCGCCGCCGTCGCCGTCGTCGCCGCCGTCGTCGTCGTCTTCGCCGTCGTCGTCGCCGTCGTCGTCGTCGTCGTTTTCGTCGTCATCGTCGCCGTCGTCGTCATCGCCGTCGTCATCGTCGCCGCCGTCGTCATCGTCGCTGTAAGCCGGGCCTGTCCCTCTGCAGGAGGAATAGTCAAGAATTAGTCTGGGGTCGATTTTTGACTATTCTTGATCATTTTGAAAAATTGTCGCCCAAAATCCCCCTGTAGGGGGACAGGCCCGACCGAGTCGTCGCTGCCGTCGCCGTCGTCGCCGCCGCAGCCGCCGCTGCCGTCGTGTCGTCGTCGTCGTCGTCGTCGTCGTCGTCGTCGTCATTGTTTTAGTCGTCGTCTTCGTCCAGCGTCAACTGTAGACATCTTCGTTCTTGCGGGTGAGGTGGTCGTCGTCGTCGTTATCGCTGCCGCTGCCGTTGTCGCCACTGTCGTCTTCGTCCAGCCTTCGAGGAACTTGCTGTTCCTTTGTTTGTTATTTAGTCGCTTTGCTCACTCCGCCGGTCCATCTTGCATGACTGGTGCTATGTTTGTGTGGGAAGGAGAGGGAAGAGGAGAAGGGAGGGTTGATGTGACAATACGGCAGATATTGATGTTGATAATGATGATGATGATGATGAGGATGGTGATGTTGATGGTGATGATGTTGATGATGCTGACGATGATCATCATGATGACTCAAGGATGCTGATGATGCTGATGATGATGATGATGATGACGACGACGACGATGATGATGATGATGATGATGATGATGATGATGATGATGATGATGATGATGATGATGATGATGATGATGATGATGATGATGATGGTGATGGTGATGGTGATGGTGATGGTGATGGTGATGGTGATGGTGATGGTGATGGTGATGATGGTGGTGGTGGTGGTGGCGGTGGTGATGATGATGCTGATGATGATGATGATGATGATGATGATGATGATGATGATGATAACGGGGATGATGCTGAGGATGGTGATGATGACGGGAAGGAGGTGGAGACGGCATAGGATGGGTAGGAGTAGGAGTAGGAAGAGAAGGAGGAGGTGGAGGAGGAGAGGAATGCGGAAGACTTTCGATGGCTGCTTAGGCAGCGTCTTGAGACCGTCTGACGGCAGCCTCGGTTCTAGGATGGCGCTAGTCCGTATTGTATCGATGGTGCTATGTGTTGGCGTGCTCGTGGCGAGCGAGAAGTTGGAGGAGGAGGAGGAGGAAGAAGAGGAGGAGGAGGAGGAGGAGGAGGAGGAAAAGGGGATGATGAGGACAAGGAGGAGGCCTCTCGATTGCTGTCTTGACGACAGATTGTAGCGATTTTCGTTCGAGGATTGAGGTTCGTTGACGCAAAGTGGGGAGAAGGAGGAGAGGGAAGGAAGAAAGAAGGGTTGGTGAGACGATAGGAGGCCTCTCGGGGGCCTCTTGGTTGTATTTCTGAGACCTCCCGGGGCGTCACGGAGGCCTCTTGGGGGCCTCTTGGGGGTCTTTTGGTGCCTCTCGGGGGCCTCTTGGGGCCTCCAGGGGACCTCTCTTCGCCTAGAGCTCGAAATGTCCGTTCGGGTCCCCCGTCTGGGCCCGCTCTTGGAGCCGTCTTGGGAGCCCCTTCAGCCATCTTGGAGGCCTCTGGGGCTGTCTTGGTGCCCTCTGGGGCCGTTTTGGGTGCTCTTGGAGGCCTCTTGGGTCGTGTTGGGGCGGTCCTGGAAGCCTCTTGGGCCGTCTTGGAGCGCCGGTAAGCCGAAAAGGCGACAACGCCAAAAACCTTCGACAACTGAGGGGGAGTCACTAATTTCTGCCTCTGTGGGCCCTCTTTTGGGAGGTCTCTTGGAGGCATCTTGGGGTGTCCTGAAGGCGCTTTGGGCTGTCTGGAGGCAATCTTTGGCGTCTTGGATCGCTCTTGGACCGTCTCGGACCATGTTGAGCTCTCTTGGAGGCCACTTGAAGCGCTCCTGGAGCGCTCTTGGAAGCCTGCCGGGACCTGGCCGACCTTGCTGGGACCTGTCCGGGACCTTGCCGGGGTGCTTTTCGTCCGAGGACCTCCAGGGGCGACCCCGCGCGCGCGAATTAGAAATATTGTTAACCAGTTACCGGAGATCTTAGCACGCCCTTGACTTGACCCATTGGGCCGGTTAATTGTATTCTCGGCTGTCTTTAGGCCTCAAGGGGCCACGTAACGAAACATTCGTGAAGCGGGCCGAATGTGAGAGAATATAGACGCCTTTGTCGTCGTCCTCGCCGTGTTTGTTTCTTCTTCTGTTCGTCGCCGTCGTCGTCGCCGCTGGCGCCGTCGTCTTCGTCGTGGTGGTGTCGTCGTTATTGTGTTCGCCGTTCCTTTGTTAATTTGTTGGTTGTCGTGGTGGTCGTCGTCGTTGTCGTCGTCTCATCCTCTCTCCTCCCTCCTCACTCTTTCCTCCCCTCCTTCCCCTTCTCCCCCCTTCTATTCACCTCCTCCCCTCCCCTTCTTCCTTCTTTCTTATTCCCTCCCTTGCCTCGCCGCCCTCCACCCCAACCTCCGCCTTCCTTGTCCCCCCTCCCCTGTCCCCTGAATTCTACTCCGCCCACTGTCCATTCCCGTCTGTTCGTTTTTCCCCTCTTCCCCCCTACTACGAGGGCGCAATCAGCTGCTGCGGGTACCTCTTGATGCAGCAGAGATCACATTTACACATCAACATCTCTTCTGCTTCACCTACTGTGCAATGCTGCGCGTTCGAGACAACGAGGGCAACGACGATCTGTATAAATCGTTCCAGAGCGTTCGGGATCGCTCTCAGAGCGTTCCAGAGCGCGCTCCAGAATGGCCGCAGCTCCCGATGCGGACTTCAGAACCGCCAGATTTCAGAGATCACTGATTTGGCCCGGTCCGATGTTGCTCCACTCTTGGATTCGTCAGACCTCGACATCTTCCGATATGATTCGTCGAATGCCCCTCCCCAGGGACACCTTGTCGCCCCAGATCTATTCCGAATGGTTTTTGGGCCCGATCGTGGGCCGCCCAACTTCTGGAAACACGCTGGCTGAACAAATCACGTCGTCGGAGATCCTGGTGGACGACGACCACGACCACGACTCCGACGGCGACGACCACAGCGACGGCGGCGGTGGGCGAATGCTCGGGCAACTGAGGCCCAACCGCCGACCTCCGGATCCTCCGGCCTCCCTCCTCCAGGATCGGGTCGGAGGAGGGGGGGTCTTCTTCAATCGATTTGCGAGGCTCAAGCCAGACAAGTCGCTGCAGATCTACGCACATCGGTGTAAGCCAAATAGGCCGAGGCAGATCCAAAGATCCAGACAAATTTGTGACAACCATCTAAGCTCTAACGGGAGCCGAGAGACAGCAGAAGTCGTTAAGCTCTTGACGATCTTAGAAATGGGGAGGCGGTACGGATTCTGCTGCATGCAGTTGGTGTCGGTTCCGCCGTGGAGCGCTCTCTCCGATGCGTTGGTGCCTCCAGCGCCGGAAGGCAGCGGGAGAAACAGCCACGTGATCTTCTGCTGCACGTAAGAGTGACCTTTTTAAGGAGTGACCTTCGGTGCGGGTGCATTGGGGGGCCCAGACGGCTGAGTGCGGTGCGATAGCAGCGGCTGGCGCGCTCGGGTTGGCCCCCCCGCCCCCGCGCCCTCCGAAAGTCACGCACCAAAGGGCACTCTTGCCTAGGGTCACTCCTTGATGTGTAGCCGATGATCTGAGTCGTCAATAGTGCCCTTCACCGTTCGTCGGGCCCGACAGGAGGAGGAGGAGGACGAGGAGAAGGATGATGATGATGATGATGAGGAGGAGGAGGAGGAGGAGGAGGAGGAGGAGGAGGAGGAGTAGAAGGGACCCATATCGGACGGGGCTAGGACGAGGATAAATCCGTTCCAGAGCGTTCCGGAACGCTCTCAGAGCTGCCGCATCGCAGAGATTCCCGATTTCATCCTCACCTGAATTTATCTTCGTCTTACCATACCTCCAGGTCGCCCCCTGGGGCGCGAGGATGATCACGCTTCGCGCGTCGCGGCCCGGGCCGGAGAGGCTGCCTTTCTCCAGGGGGGCGTGACGAGGTCGCGAGGGCGCGAGGATCGTCGCACGTCGCGCATTGCGGGGCGCGCTGCGCGAAGTTAGGTCACCTATAGGTACTCCTGCGGCGGCTCGAGAAGCCCTGCGCCCGGGAAGGGGCCCTCGCCGCTCCTGCCCCCGTGCGCGCGCCCTGCTCGAAGGGAGGGGCCGTGCAGCACCGCCGCCCCCCCGCTCCGCTGCCCCGCGGAGAAGCCAGAGCGCGGCAGGCGTGCGCAGAATGCCCCGCTGGGAGGTTCGCGCGACGCTCCTCTCACGAGCGGCGAGCGCATCCACGTCCACGCTCCCGCGATCTGGATTCCGGGGCGCGTTCCCGCGGATCCGCGGTCGCACAGGTACGTTCCGCGCAGGGCAACCGCGAAAAAGCGCTCCGCATCCGCGGGAACGCGGCCCAGGGGACAGGCCCGCGAGGCCGCGAATACGGGTCCATTCTTCGACCACGACGACAGCGAACCATCTCGAATAATAGGGGTCCCTGGCGCCTCCCACATTGATGACTGAGCCGAAGAAGAATACCTCTCGTAAGCATAAACTTTCGCAGGTCCGTGGGCCCCCCTGGCAGATCCCCTCTGGCGCCGCCTCTGGTGCGCTCCGCACGCCAGAGAGGGAGGTTTGGCGCCAACCCAAGAAATCCGCGCGGGCTCGCCGACAGTTCTTGTTCATGCTGTCTCTTCATGTTTGTCCCTCTTTGAAGGGAGCGCCGGTGGGCCGTGGTCGAAACCAGCTGCATGCAGCAGGGTTCCTACCCCCTCGGGCCCAGGCCCTCCTCTTTCGCCCGGCCCGAGCGAGCGGCCCCCGATCGATTGTCGGACGAGTCGGACCGAGAGATGCGACGATCAGCGTTTTGTTTCGCCGTGCTTGTGCCTCCGCGGCATGCGTCCGCTCGAGGAGAAAGACCGTTGTCCTACGATGCATTATGCTAATTAGTTGCATGCTCCTGCTCACGTTCAGCATCGTCTAGCCGATCCCCATCCTCACCCCCACTGGTCCACAGCATCTCAGCCTCACCTGCCCGCCCCCCATGGTGGGGACAGGGTCCCGCGGAGCCGACGAGACCAGCGCACGTACATTCCCCACCCTGGCGGGGGGGGGAGTCAGCCTGTGGTGCCAAGGCCACGCCAGTGGGGCCAGAGATGCGGCTGACCGAGAGCCGACGAGATCAGCGCACGTGTATCCCCCACCCAGGGGGGAGTGAGTCGGCCTGTGGGGCCAAGGCCACGCCATTGGGTATGGGGTTACGGCGAAACGATGCTCACACGTTCAACCACGCGCGAAGGGGGGTAGGGGGAGGGGGGAAGGCTTCTCAGAAGTACCCCTGCTTCTTAGAAGGCGCGGGCCTTGTCTGTAGATGTAAGGCCGGTGCCTTCTGAGAAGCAGCCTCCTTCCAAGAAGCCTTTCCCCCTCCCCCTGCCCCCCTCTGCGCGCTGCCAATATGTGCCAGACTGCCCACCCTCCGCGCCGCCCCCCCCCCCCGCGCGCCGCCCCGCTGCTCCGGAGACCCTGCGGGTCTACATCGGATCGTGGAACCTTCACGGGCAGAAGGCCTCCGGCGTCTGCCCCCCGCCGCCCAGCACGGTGAGCGGGAGACACCCTGACTGCACGGAGGGGCATGGGGCCGATGGTGAGGATGGGGTGCCGAGGGGATGGACGATCAAGGGGGCCAGGTGGAGGCGAAGAAGGGGGAAGAGGAGGGCGGAGACGGATGAGGTGGAGCCCAGGAAGAGGGTGTGGGGGAAAAGGATGAGGAGGGGAATGAACACGCGGTGAAGGAAAACAAGAGGCGGAGAAGGAGGAGTCAGACAAGGAGTGGGATGAGGAAAGAGAAGAGTGGAAGATAGCGGAAGAGTAGGACTATGAGAAGCAGGAGGATCAGGAGGCGGAAGAATAGGAGGACAACACTCGAGGAGGAGAAGGAGGCGGAATTACGGAGCTACGGATATGGCGATCAGGTCGATTACGATGAAATTCAAACTCTTCGCGGCTGGCCTTTTCGGCTCTACTGTGAGCTTTGGGTCGGATCCCCCGTGCGATTCGGGGCAGGTAGTCGTGTCTCCGTGGGCATGGGGTCCCAGCCTGGCCAACCTTTGGGCCGCAAGCGAACCATACGACCCAGCACACCACATCCCCAGCCGGGCGTTAAGTTGTAAATGATGGGTTATGTGAGCTTCCCCCCGCAGATATGCAGTCGACGCTCTGAGGGAGGCGCAAACACGATTCCGTCAACCGATCTAAGGTCAAAGCACAGGGTGTCCAACCCAGTCTGGCGTGCCGCTTCACTCGCAGAACTGTGACGGTGTAAGCATGAGAGACAGTTGTCCGACAACCAGTGCTGGAGCACAAAAGTTTTACAGACCGATGGAGCGCGAGGCCTAAGACCAGAGTGCCTGACACGGGCTCCTTGGGGCTCCTCCGATGCAAGGACAAGTGCAGCCTGAAGCGTTTCGAGCGCTCTGAGCAAAATACGCAGGCGGACGGCGTAGTGCGCCTTCTCATTTTGAAACACTCGTGCTCAATCCACGGGAGGTGCACGCATTGATTTTGCTGCAATGTCTGCAAGATGGTCGGCAGCCGTGTTGCGGACTGCCAACAACAAGGGCGTCTTTATCCTGCAAAACATCAGTTGCTCATGGGGGGCACTGACTTGTATATGAAACTCGCGTACGTTTCGAAACTTGGAGGCGTCCCCGGGCTCTCTTGGGCCTCTCTTGGGGCCTCATGGGGCTCTTTCTTGGGGATCTCCTTAGGTCCCCTTAGGGCCTTCTTGGGGCTTCTTGGGGCGCTTTTGGGGCGTCTTGGGGCCCTCTTGGGGCTCTTTGGGGGGGTCTGGGGGCTCTCTTGGGGCCCTCTTGGGCCGCTCCTGGAGCGTTCTTGGGGCCGTCTTGGGGCCCTCTTGGGGCCCTCTTGGGCCCCTCCTGGGACTAGCTTGGGCCGTCTTGGGGCCATCTTGAGGCCTCAAGAGCCCATCGGAGGCGAACAAGCGAAAAGGCAAAACAAATTGATGGTCCTTCGGTTTTTGAAGGATGTTGGCCTCTTGGGGGGGTCCTCGGAGGCCTCTGACAGCACTTGAAACCGTCTTGGGGCCGTCTTGAGGCCTCTTGGATGCGTGTCGGAGGCTATCTTGAGCCATCTACCGCTATCTTGGGTCATCTTGGAGGCCATCTTGCGCTCTCTGAGGCCCTCTTCGAGCCATCTTGGGCCATCATGGACGCTGCTATGGGTCGGGCCCCCCCCGTCCAAACGCATGGAGGGGGGGAGGTAAACCTCCCAAGCAGGGAAAGGAAAGAGGTTGGAGAAGGAGACGCCCTAGACAACCTGCGCCCAGAGGGCTGGTGGGATTGCATGTGGGGGCCCAGGTCCGAGTACTGAGCAAGGCCGACTCCTACTCTACGCAAGCGCGAGTCGCTGGTGTCCTTCCCCCACCTCCCCTCTGGCGTCCCCGAAAAGAAACAATGGCCTCAGGGGTGAGCCAACACAGAGACAAGCCTCGCAGAAATTGGGCAAGCCCTCGCCCCACCAGTCAGCTTCGCCCTGAGGGGAGGAACCTCAACCCACGCTCGCGACATGAGACCTCGCATTCAACAGAAAGGCTATGCATCATGTTCGGCGTGCGCACGCAAAGCGCACCCATCGCGTGTATATATATATATATGCACACATATATGTGTATGTATATATATATACTACATATATATATATATCGTGATCGACCTGTTTAGCACCAGCCTAGCATCGACGAGACGAAGTCTCGTTCAACTCGTGACATCTCGCGCACAAGAGTGAGATAGCCTGCTTGGCCCGGGCCGGATGCTGCTCCCGCGGCCACGCGCCCCCCGCTGCAGCAGAATGCCCGCCTGTTTCTTGCCGTTGGGCCCCGCCTCGAGCTGCTTCAGCACCACCCTGTACGAGTAGTTGCGCACGAACCCTAGCTGGGCTCCACCTCTGTCGATCTGCTCCGACGCTGCACGCCAGAGCTGTTTCATGACCGAGTCTTTGCGCTCTTCAAATATGCCGGCGGAAAGTCAACTGCCGAACATCCAGATAATACCGTTGGGCTGAACTGCCACCTGCGTGTCATGCCAGATCCGTCATCAGGTATTGGCCAGTCTGCTGGCCCCTGTAGCCCCCATGAGATATGCCACCACTGCCACCTATGGGCCTCGAGTGTGCTGGCTTCGACGTCGTGGTGACGAGCTGCGGAACTCTTGAGCTAGCTGCTGCCATGTGCGCTCCACCCGTACCCCTGCCCTGATAGATGACCGGGGTGTCCACGTTTGTAGCCGCATTCTTAGACGCTCTGACACCATGCTCGCAGCTGGGTCTTTCGCGGGAGCTCCCATGTCTAGAGGAGTGGTGACACACCGTCCCGTGGGCCTCGGGCTCGACGCGTCACAGAGACAGCTGCGCATATGCCGTAGACGTTATCCATGCGCCCCGTGTATTCGATGAGCGTCATTGCCAGCCGCGATTGCACCCTGCGGTTCCAGTCTCGCCGTGATCCTACACCTTCGCGCCGTGCGCGCGTGCCTGGCTACCTCGCATGCGCGCGTTTGTGCTTGGGTTCGCGGACCGAGCGGCGCGCCCGCGCGCGCTTCCTGCCGCCCCCCAGGTCAGCGCCGAGATACAGTGCTGGCGCCACGGGCTGCACCTGCTGCACTCGCGCCATGGGCCCCCTTGGCGCGGCGCAGCCAGTCGCAGATGACGACGCCCCCAGGAGAGACCTCGAGGCCACTGGACTCCATTGCGTCCGAGGTCTGGCCAAGACACCCAACCAGGCGATCCTGGACAGCGCGACTTCATCGTCGGGCCACCTGGCTCTAATCGCCGATCCACATCTAGTGCGACATGCCCACGCGCGACGTGGCGATGCGCTGCGCAATCACATTAGCTACCACCTTTGCGAACCTCGCGCCAGATCTCGGGCCCTGCGCCGCCGACCGCGACGGTGCGAAGGCCGAAGAGCAAGCGCCCGCCTGCCGCGAGCACCAGGCCGACATGCATTGCAGCAGCTCCAGCGCCAGCACCTCAGCTGGAAAAATCCAGCCGCAGCGCCGCGCGCCACGGCATCTGCCGCCCAATCGAGTCGTAGAAATTGGCGATGTCCAGCAGCCCATGGCCATGGGCCATGCCCAGCCCTGCCGCCAGCTCCTCGTTGACCATTCGGAGGAACGCCTCCTGCGCCGCCGGTCTGCCACGCATGGCCGCGCCCCGCGGCGCTTCGCACTCCTGAGCCCGAGCGCGGACCCGCGGCTCTAGAATCCACGGCCTTGCCGCGCAGGGCAGCGGGCCGATCGCGCGGTCGCCCGCGTGCTTCTCGGGATGGGGCATGCCCGCCGCCGGCAGCAGCTGTCGCGGCAACGACTGGCGCTTCTCGCGCCTCCCCAGGATCGCCGCCAGCTCTTCGAGCGCGACGTCGGGCAAACGGTCCTTGCTGAGCGCCGTGAGCCTGTTGGCGCCCGCGGCAGCCGCCTGCGTCGCCCTCCTGCCAGCCTCGCGAAGCTGGCCACCTGTGAGCACAGGAAGAGACTCCTCCCGAGCTCGCCGCCGAATGTTGTCAAAGCAAGCCAGCAGCCCTTCTGGCTGCTGATTCCTGGGCGCCCACAGTTTCTGCCAAGTTTCCGTCTTCTGATCCAGGATATCACGCGTGTGACACAGCGCAGTAATCCACCATGCGCTACGGGTGCCTGCGGTGAGTCTCGCAGAACACAATGTGGAGTTGGGGCGACGCACGTCGCCCGCGGATTTCCGCCAATGCATGATTGACTGCACACTTGTGGCTCCGCGCTGAGCCACCTTCTCCCTCGTAGATGACGCCCGCCTCAGCGGCGCGCCCTCCGAAGCTGCCGGATCCACCAAAATGACCGGCCATGCAGCCCAGCTAATCGCGTTGCGGCTTCTGCGTCTGGTGCCCCTGCCCGGGGGCCGTATGCGGAGGCGGTCAGTTGTTGCCTCGTGTACTTCCAGTTGCTTGGCGCCGTTCTGTCGACCTCAAAGCCTGGCGTAAAAATATGCCACGGCGCCTAGCGCTAGCTTCCCCACCTACCACTGACCCCGTCTCGGAGCAGTGCCACTCGTGATTGCGTGGCCTCCCGCGCAGTCTGTTTGGAATTTGGGGCCCTCTGCTCGTGACCACACAAGTGGTGCCTGACCGTGGTGCCGAGCGACTGCGAGCTCAGGGGTTCGCACCCCTGCCCCGAGTAGACTGCTGTCGCCATCGCAAAGCCCAGAGCTGAGCGAAACGGCGACGGATTGCGCAACGTCAGCAGCAGGCGGGCACGCACAAGTAGTCACGAAGTCAACATTTTGTCATTGCTCGTTCCACGCGTCATCTGTGATGCCGATGAAACTGATGGCGGGCTCCAACCTCCCCCCTCATGCCTGAGTCGGGGCAGACTGAGAAAGCGCCTCGAAGCTCCCATTTGACAGGGCGGTGTCGCGCTAGGCCGAAGTATTCACTGATTGATTCGAGTGAGACGAGACAGCATTCGGGGCGGAAACAGGTCCATAGTTCTCTTCGTGGGCCCAGGGATTCTCCTCGCTGTCGGAGTCCCCGCCCTCGAGGTGGTCATCGACAGGCTCGCCGATCCTTGTCTCGGCCTCTCTGTCCCTCTTCTCCGCCCAGGCATGGGTTGACGAGCCGGCCCGGGGGCGACGAGGGGCTGGGGCGGCAATTCCAAAAACCGAGCGCACAAGCGGCTACCTTCGCAAATGGGCTCCAGAGTGAGGCCTGTACGAGGCTTCCAGTGGAAATCCACTCTAGCCCCGAGCTCAAAGATGCGCGGTCGGGCGGCCTCAGACGCGACGACGCAATCCAGATTGGGCAGCTCATTTCCTCCCGGCGCGCGCGTGAACCCATCTGGCTTGACGATGAGGCCGCCACTCTTCTGCGCGGAGCCAGATGCCTCGAGCTGCGCCGGCGAGTGATTCCAGCTTCCGATGGCGATCTGCGGGGGTTGCAGCGCTGCTAACAGACTAGCGCGACCAGATCTGGAAACATTTGTTATCGTCATGGAGACCGATGCCTGAACTTCCGCACATTTTGCAAACCACAAACGAGGAACTTCTTATTTGCATGAGGGACGACAGTAAGCCGCCGAGCTCAGAGTTTTTGCAGATCGAAGTCCTGGAGCTGACCGCGCTGCGTCAAAGATCTGGGTGGGTAGATGATTCCGCGCCAGCATCCGTTCGCCACCCTCATTGGCGCGTTCTTGCTGCTCGACCGCAGCTGTCCGCCACCTAACTTCGAAGAGCTCTGTTTGGTGTTGGAGTTGGCCTTGGAGGCCCGGCTGGGCACGTCCCTGCCACGGACATGAACCTCGCATGCTAAAGCAGACGAGTGAGTACGTGACGATTCGGCAAGATATTCTCACGCATTGTCCTCCATGCAGGTCACGTTCCCGAATGCAGCCCTGATGTAGCAGTGCACGCACTGCTGCCTGACGAAATGGCTGTCGTGGCCGACGGAGAAACTGATGGCGTCGATGAGGTGCGCCTTCCGTGCGACTCCCATGTCGCTGTACTTGCACTGATGTTGTCGGTCGACACTGACGTCCCTAGTCGCAGTTCCTCATCTTGACTACCACCGCCAGGTGGAATTGCGTGTGAGTTGCTGCCCTTGCCGACACTCCTGCCGCCCTTGCCCTGCTCGGCCGCCGATGCAGCGTCGAGCTTGGCCTCGCATAGCGCCTCCGCTGCGCATTTGATCTCCGCGCCCGCCACCGAACATCTCGCGGCGCCTGACTCGCCGTTGGCCTGAAGTTGCAGCCGCCGCAGCTCCGCCCCCAGGATCTCCACCATTGGCCACCTCTCCGTTGAGGCCCTTCCTCTTCTTGATCATGCGTTCCTTCACGTCGGTCTCCAGCTCGGAGGCCATGTCTAGGAGCACCTTCGGTTTGGTATCCTTCGTGGCGAAGATGGCCTTGTACGACTCGGGCTCCTTTTTGAGTTCCCTCAGTTGTATCTTGCCCTCTTCGCGCCCCCGCCCCTCGAACTTGTCGAGCGTTGCGCTGCTGATGTTCAGCGCGAGCGCCAATTGGTTGGCGTCGCCTTCGCCAGAAGGAGCAGAGACTACCACTCCTTCGGCTTTGGCGAGCGCCTCCGCAGCTTTTTTTTTTTTTTTTTTTTTTTTTTTTTTTTTTCCGAATTCCGCGCGCGCAAGGGTCTCGGTTGCCTGCTGCTTCTTGGCTTCCGCCCCCCGCAGCCGTTTGCGGAGGCGGAGGACCTGGGTCACGAGTTTCTCGTGCCGACGACCTGCAGCACGAAATGTGCCATTAATTGTGCAGTTAGACTCCACTTCGGCCTCCACCTACTCCACCACCTCCTGACGGATGGGCTCCTGTTGCTCGATGCGCGTCGCTTTGAGCACCTGGTCGTCAGTTGCCTGGGCGGCCTGGGACAGCAAGTCCTGCAACTGCTGTTGCTGGGTCTTGTTGTTGCCGCCTCGCCGCTCCCGCGTGGGTTAGGGGAGGCTCCCCGCTGCCCTCCGCTGCTGCCCTGGCTCCCACCCTGCATCACCCTCACATCCTTCGTGACGGACCGTGCGGCTGGATGACCTCGGCTTGAACAGGCGGACGGCTTGGGAGCAGTTGGGACATCGACGGCTGGTTGCGATTAGTTTGTCGTTGTATTCCCACGTTTCGGAATTGGCACACCAGATCCACGGCCTGGATTTTCTTTTCGAGGTGCCCCGAGCACATGCAAGAGAAACCATGCCGGATGCCGCGAAACTAAGGTGATCCTTGCTTTCGAAAGGCTGCTAAAAAGTGGAAGTTGTCAGAGAGTTGTTTCTCAAGTACCCCGAGAAGGTACAGGGATCAGGCCTGTGCAAAAAGTCTGGCGTGAGGGAAACGGAGGAGGAGGAGGAGTAACAGGAAATGGAGAGGGAGGGGAAGCGGAATTGAAGGAAGGGGTGGGTGAAGAGGTGGGGATGGAGGTTGGACGGCACGGGTGAAGTATTCGATGATGGGGTAATGGAGGATGGAGGACGGACGATACGTTAGAACGAGGTGGAAACGGAGGGGGGAAGAGAGATGTGGAATACGGGGTGCAAGATGGAGGGCGGGCAGACGAAGATCTCCCGGACGTGGCCTCCGCAGGTCTTGGGTGGCGCTGGTCTCCTCTTCTCCTCCGAAGGGCGGCCCCCGTGCCCGCCGCGATCGGAGGTCCGCTCCGCAGCCGCCGCGCGAGGGGCGGTCACTCCTCTCCTGGGGGGGAGGCCCGCGCGGGCCCCTCCCCCCGCCAAAGGGGGGCGGCCGCTCCCTGCGGCCCCGGATCGGCGGCGCGCCCGGGGGAGGGGGGGAGGCGGGAGGGGGGCGCGGCCCTTCTCGGAGGGCTCCGGGGGTCCCCCGGCCCGCTGAGAAGTCTTCTGGGCCTTCCCCGAAGGCGCAGGCAGCCTCTCGGAAGGCCGGAGGCCCTCTGGGGAGCCCCGCCGCCTTCCGAGAGAGGGCCTCCTCCTCGTCACTTCCCCCCCCCCCCTCGCTCGCGGCCGACTGGAGAGGCGCGCGGGGGGCGGGGCGCGGCTATGCAGCCGCTCGCGTACTTCGCCGCGAGGATCGCCGCGGTCGAACGGAGGGATGGCGAGGAGGGTCCCGGAGGGGGAAGCGGAACCGATGCCGCTGCCCTTGCCTCGGCTTCTGCAGGAGGCCCCGCTGCCTCGGCCGGATGCGCCTGAAGATGCTGGACAGGGCGCTTTCCGGGAGAGGTCCAGGGAGTGGCGGGGTCGGCATCTTTTGGTGACTCGCACTGCAGCCGCTCGCGCATTTCGCCGCGAGGATCGGTGTGGTCGAGATTTGGGACTGGGTAAAAACGTGGGGCTGCGGAAGGGGGGAGATGAGGGGATGACCCAAACTGCCTTCCTTTTCCCTCTGCCTGTTCCCACTCCCTCCCCACCTGCGGCCGTGCGGACGGGCCGTGCGGGCAGTGCACACACTCGCGCGCTTTGCTGCGAGGATCGGTGCGCTCGAGATTGGGACAGAGAGAGGAGGTTCGACGAGGAGGATGAGGAGCAGGGGAGGGACCATGATGGCAACATTGGGGCATTAGGGCGGCCCCTGACATCCTTTCGATGTGAAGAACTCACGAGGGATGCTTTTTGCCAATGTTCGGCCGAAGGATGAAAGCCATTCCTGGGGAAGGGGGCCAGACATCTGGGGAGCTTCGTTAAGGAACAATAACGCGACACAGGATGTTTTGGGGGGATGGGCTCGGGGGGAACGCATCAACCCCCAATTGCCCGTTCATCGCTGATGGGGGGCCGATAGCCCATCCCGCCAAGGAGCGTGCGGATACCACCCATCCGCCCCCCGAGTCGTTCCCCCCTATCCCCTGTCGGTCCCCATCACAAGCGTAAACCCAAGCGTCAATGATGCTGCAACACGCTCATCCGTCCCAAGTCTCCTCGTCCGGCGCATTTGCAAGAATTCTCTGTCGATGCGGGAAGTGCCCCCTCGAAATTCGAGCGCCCCATGGTCTTGCGATTTTGATGTCGACCCCGTGTTGGAAGGGAGCTGCCTCCCATGCTTCTAGCTAGAGGACGACGACGTGTGATCATAAGGCACAGCAGTATACGGAAGTGTTCAGCGACAGCTCCGCTTTGAGAAAGAGTCGTCCTCGTTCCGTGAAACGTTTCATCCGATTTTAAACGTCGGGTCATCCAAACAGAGGAAGTCTCAAGGGAGAGCCCTGATAGCAAAATGAGCCGCCCTCCATTCGCGTAGCGTGTAGTTGCTGCAGATTTCGGATCATGCGGGTTGATGAAGTATCAATCAAAAGTTGAATGGTGAGAAGGAAGCGCTCTCCATCTGTATGATAGTCAGAAGTTTCTAAACCGGACGTGCGCGGATCTAAGGCGAGAACAATATGTTGAATACGACACCATCCATCGATGTGACTGTTGCAAGCGCTGAAGACGGAAGCTCGCTGCGCCAAGGCGAAAACCAGATGTTGAAAACGCCTTCCCCTTCCATCCGTGTGAGCCGCTTGGAGCTCTTAAAACGAATTCGCGCGGCGCAAAGGCGAGCGCCACATGTTGGCCATCCCTATTCCATCTGTGTGACTGTTGGAACTTGACAGTTCCGGGATCAGAAACGGTGGGGAAGTCCCTGGCGGACCGCCCCGACCGTCCTACCGACACGTCTGGTTGTCAGGCGAGGCGGATTATCTTTCTAACAAAGCAAGGGATGGACGGGGAAGATAATCAGAAAATCGGAGGAAGGAGGAGAGAGAAGAGGAGGGAGGAGGGCTAAGGAGAAGGAGGAGGAGGAGGAGGAGGAGAAGGAGGAGGAGAGAAGAAGAGGGACAAGGGGTATCCAGCCTCGGTGGGGCCTCCATGGGAACGGAAACCATTGGGACTAAGGCTGACCGCGGGCACTGCCCATCTGGGACAGATGTCGCCTGCCCAGCAGCGACCGCCACGTCGCCGCAGGCGCTGCCCAGTTGGGGCAGCCGCAGCCTTCCTCGTTGAACAGCATTTGCTGCTGGGTTCCACCCCCCCATCCCAGACCTCCGACGTCGTGATTTTCCTTCTCCTCATCCCTCCTTCTCCTCCTCCTCCTCCTCCTCCTCCTCCTCCTCCTCCTCCTCCTCGGTCCGCCTCCTCGATCCTCCCCCTCCCCCTCCTCGCTCCCCCTGCCTCCCCGTTCCCTCCCCTCGATCCCCCTGCCCCTCCGCAGGAGGTTCGGGGGGGAGCGGGGGCGCCGCCACTCCCAGATGTCCGACGTCGTGTTGTTTCCACACGCTGGCTGCCCAGTGGTCTGGACCCGTTCCCTAGGAACGGCCATTCGCTAATCATTCTGAGTGTAGTTTTGTGATGGTTCCGGGGCCCAGCGATGGTCCCCAGAGGCAGAAATAGCAACAGATCTCCCGTCGTGTTTTTTTTCCAACGTGAGGACGTCAGGGGTTCAATCACGCGGCGAGCGGGCACGAGCGGAGCGAACCCCTACACCCGTGCACCCCTGCTGCCCTACACAGTACGAGGTGAGCCCCGGCATATTTCTGGGGCCATCGGGGACGGCTGTCCCTTTGGAGGCAGGTCGGGGTATCAACTTTCCAGCCAGTCTGAGCCAGGCGACCTCGATCGCGCATAAGTTGAGTTCAAAGCGCTCCTCGCCCGCTACATTCAGCGCGTGCCGAGAGGAGCCTGCTCGGCTGGTTGCAGTGGATGGAGCGGGCGGACCGCGCGTTTGCCAGCGACGCGCTGCTGCTTGTGGCAACCGGCGCGGCGCACTGCTGGGCGGTCGTCGGGAGCAACGTGAGGGGGGAAGGAACGGGTCCAGACGGGTTCGAAAGCTTCGAACTTCGAGGTTCGAAGCTCGAGGTTTTCGGCCTCGGGCGGTCTCCATCAGTTGCGCTTCGTCGAGCGCGTGGCGGGCGTGCGCGGATCGTCCCGAATGGCCGCCGGAGAGAGCCGAGTTCTGACCCGAAAGCCGGCAGGGTTAGGGGGGGATGACCCCAGGGAGGTACGCATCGGCCCCCGACCGCCCATTCATCGCCGAGAGAGTCTGGATGGCTCCACCCAGTCCAAGGACGTCCAGATTCGCTGTCTGGGGCCTGTCGCCGATGTATCCGCCATGTATCGCCGATTCAAGCTCGATGTTTCCCTCTCTCCGCCGGATTGCCCGTCAGGTCGTCTACTCACTGTTCATCGCGATTCACACGCGTGCGATGCGGTACGACGGCTACCACGAGGGCTATACTCGAAGAGGGAAAAACCCAATGAACATAAGTTTTCGGAGCTCCGCGTGGATCTCTTGGATCTCCGCTGGTTGCCCCCCTGGCAGCGCCTCCAGCGCCGCTCCTGGCGCGCTCCGCGCGCCATGGAGGGTGTTTAGGGCAGATCAATGGAATCCGCGCGGAGTTCTGAAAGGTCATGTTCATGCCGTTTCTTCTTCCTCTATATACAGAGCACTTGCCGCCCTGGGTTGCTTGGACGGAGTCCCTGTCCGTGCTCTCCATGTGCATATGGTGGGCCGCCGGCTTCGTGACCGCCGCCGTCCGCATCGTCGACGACGGTGTGGACGGCCTGCCGATGGAAACCCGAGACACTGGAACGAGCTTCTTCGAAGAGGTCGTGCGGTCGCCGAAGCTGCACGCGGGCCTGTCCATCGGGCACACGCTGAGCTGTGTGGGCCTCTTCGTCAGCATCATTCTGCTCTGCATCGCCATGGGCCTCATGAAGGGGGAGGTCACGCCCTGCGAGCTCTGCCTCTGCTTTGTTTCAATCCCCCCGAGGGAAAGCCGACGCCTGCCCTGGGATCGGAGATCGCAAAAACCAGCGTCCAGACCGATCCTGGGGTGGATGTTTCGAGATGGATTTCGGGGAAGACAGCCGTTGCGAATACGGCGCCCCCTGGAGGTCCAAGCATCGAGGGAGGACGAACCATCCGGACCCCCATGATTGGTCTGATGCTTAGCCCTGTGCGATTACTGGACTGCCCCATCCTGTTCGGTTCCTCCCTCAGAGGTGCATAATTTTTGGGGGGGGGCTCGTCTGCAGGGGTGATTGTTCTCAGGGTGGCTCCTGGAGCATCCACGGAGCCTCGTGACATGAAGGCTGGTGCCTGGACGCGGGTATGGGGGGGCGGGGTCCGCTAGAAGATTGCAGGAGCCCTGAGTACCAGACAGCATTTGGCCTCCTGCCACCGCGGCAATTCGACTGCCGCGCCTCAACTGCACGCCTCCCTGGTGGGGCTGGACTCGATGGGGTCGGCGGATCGCGGCTCGATGTGGAGCCTGAGTGTCTCCACGCCGTTTCTGCGGCATCTCTCAAGCTGGATTGATCGGTGACGGTCCCAGGGCCCGAAACAATGAAACATCGATCTCTGCGCAGAAATGCGATGCCAGGATCTCTGGGTGAATGGTTCTTGCGGAGCCCTCCCAGGAGTGGCCTCCTGTCTCCACAGAATGCCCCCAAACTTCCAACATTTTGATCCTGGCCCAGATCATCCGCAACTCGAACTTTTCGGTCACGGATTTCGGTCACGCCAAGTTTTCGTTGCGACCAGAGGGGGTCGAATTTCGGTAACGAAGTGGCGGTGCGTCGGGGTCCAAGCGAAGGTTTCGAAGTCGTCGATGGCTCGCTCATTACCGGAATTCGCGACTGGAGGCCGCAAGTCGGTCGCGACCAGTCCGTCCAGAGCCTCACTGGACATGTCAGGCAACAGATGATTTTGTCGGGGGTTTCTAGAGGGATTCTTCAAGGTGGGGTTAGGGAACATACCCAGCTGGAGGCTCACATCTCCTCCTTACACCGGCCGTGTTGAGCAAGTTTCCTAGACCCCCCCCTCTGCCCCTGCCCCACCTGTACGTCCCCCCGACCTCGGGGGGCGGGGTCGGCTTTTTCCTGGGGGCGCCCGTCGGCTTCGCTCTGCCCCACGCGGTCGTGGCCTGCCGCCGCCTCCACGGCGAGGACCCCAAGAAGGCAGAGGGCCGCCCTGCGGAGCCCTACCCAGCCGCCGCGGTGGCGGCGGCGCAGGATCGGGGCTGCCTGGGTCTGGGCCTCCTAGATGGTGTCGGAGTAGGTGGGGTCGGAGGATCGCGCCGCATCGCCGATGCAGCGATGCAGCTCGATGTAGAGCCCGATTCTATACACGCCGACGTCGCCGATGCATCGCGCCGACGTCGCCAATGCATCCACGATGCATCGCCGATACATCGGTGATGCATCGACGATACGGCGCGATCCTCCGACCCCATCTGCTCAGACCCCATGTAGGAGGTCTCTAGCTACCATTTGCGGGCTTATTTCGGGGTTCGAATTTTGAGGTTCCGAGCTTCGGAGGGAAGACTGCCACTACCGCTACCCTTCCCCGCTGCCGCGGCTGGATTCGCCTTGAGATCCCACCCTGGGAGAGGTCCGTCTGGCGTTCGAAGGTCGAACTTCTAGGTTCGATTTTGGCGCTCTCCGCCTATAATTTTGGGCCTGGAGACTCCTCGTGGCCAAGCCCGCACGCACCTCAGGATGGGCTCAAAGGCTCGTCGATGTTCGACCACCAGGCCCAGACCCCTTCGCGTCCTGAAAAATCACGACGGGCGGTTTTCTGTTGTTTTCGGCATCGCAGGGCTCTCGCTAGGTTCCAGGACCGTCAAACAACATCTCGGGATGAACAGCCGGTCCCAGGGACTTGGTCGAGACTTACAGAGGTCCGAGTGCGGTAGTCCCGTATAGGAAGTAAACGCGGAATCAGAACACATGCATGAACAGATTCTAGACGCTTCGCGTAGATCCACCACACCAGCCCATCCCAAAGCGATGCTCAGGCGAGTCGCCCTAGGGATGTGGAGGAGCATACAGTGGAATGAAGGTCTAGGGAAGCCGTCATATCCAAGAGGGGGAGGATGGAGGAGGAGGAGGATGAGGAGGCGGAGGAGGGGGAGGGGGAGGGGGAGGAGGAGGAGGAGGAGGAGGAGGAGGAGGAGGAGGAGGAGGAGGAGGAGGAGGCGGAGGAGGAGGAGGAGGAGGAGGAAGAGGAGGAGAAGGAGGAGGCGGAAGGCGAGCAGAAAGGCCAGAGGCCTCTTGGATGCTTCTAGGAGTCTCGGATGTCTCTTTCGCGGGGGCCTCTTGGAGCGTCTCGGGTGGCCTCAGGGGAGCCTCTTGGGGCATCTTGGGGGCCTCTTGAGAGTTCGTTGGGGACCTCTTGGGGGCCTCTTGGGGCCTCCTGGGCGCCTTGAGGCCCTCTTGAGGCATTCTTAGGAGCCTCGGGGGCCATGTTGAGGCCATCTTAAAGGAGATCGATGAAAGAAAGGGGGGACTATATTAGCGTCCCCCCCCCTCAGGAGGGCAAAATGGGTCCAACACCTTATCTATATTATTCGCTTCGCTCATTCCGCCGGTCCATATTGCCTCGCCGCTGTCGTTTGTCGGGATGGTGTTTTCAATGCGGTGCGGTTGGGCGGCTGCCATTTTTCGGAGGCGGTGGGTGATGGGTCAGAGGCTTCATGGATGTTTGTTGGGCTCTCGTGGTTGGCCTCTCAGGGGCCTCTGGCAGGCAGTTTTGAGGCCTCTTGGGGTCCGTGTTGGGGCCTCTTGGGGCCTCTTGGGGGCCTCTTGGGGCTTCGTGGGTTGCCTCTTGGGGGCCCCTTGGGGCCTCTTGGGGGCCTCTTGGGCCTCCTGGGGGCCTCTTGGGGCTGAAGGCTGGTTCCTGGTCCCCTTCTTGGGGCCGTTTTGGGGCCCTCTTAGGCCGTCGTGGGCGTCTCGTGGGCTGGGCTGTCTTGGGGCCATCTCGGGCCGTCTTGGGGCCCTCTTGGAGGCCTCTTGGGCCGTGTTGGGGCGATCCTTGAAGTCTCTAGGCCCGTCTTGGAGCGCCGCTAAGTCCCCAAGGCGAGAACGCCAAAAACGTTTAATTTTTTGTAGGGGATTCAAACACATCTGCCTCTGTGGGCCCTCTTGGGAGGTCTCTTGGGGCGTCTTGGGGGTCTCTTGGGTTGCCTCTTGGGGGCCCCTTGGAGGCTTCTTGGGGACCTCTTCGGGCTTCCAGAGGACCTGACTGCGCCCAGAGCTCGACATGTCCGTTCACGTCCCTCGTCTGGGCTCCCTTTTGGAGCCGTCTTGGGAGCCTCTTCTGCCATTTTGGCAGCCTCTGGGGCTGTCTTGGGGCCCTCCAGGGCCGTTTTGGGCACTCTTGGAGGCCTCTTGGGCCTTGTTGGGGCGATCCTGGAAGCCTACAGGGTCCTGTTGGAGCGCCGGTAAGCCCGCAAGGCGAGAACGCCAAAAACTTTCAAACATTGCAAGGGAATCAAACAATTCTGCCTCTGTGGGCCCTCTTGAGAGATCTCTTGGGGCATCTTGGAGGTCTCTTGGGGTCTCTCGGGGGCCTCTTGGGGGCTTCTTGGGGGCCTCTTCGGGCTTCCAGGGGACCTCGCTGCGCCCAGAGCTCGACATGTCCGTTCGGGTCCCTCGTCTTGGCCCGCTCTTGGAGCCGTCTTGGGAGCCTCTTCGGCCATCTTGGAATCTTTTGGCGTTGTCTTGGGGCCCTCTGGGACAGTTTTGGGCGCTCTTGGAGGCCTCTTGGGCCTTGTTGGGGCGATCCTGGAAGCTTCTAGGACCGTCTTGGAGCGCCGCTAAGTCCCCAAGGCGGGAACGCCAAAAACGTTCAAATTTTTGCAGGGGATTCAAACACATCTGCCTCTGTGGGCCCTCTTGGGAGGTCTCTTGGAGGCCTCTTGGGGCTTCTTGAAGGCGCTTTGGGCTGTCTGGAGGCAATCTTTAGCGTTTGGGATCGCTCTTGGGCCGTCTCGGGCCATGTTGAGCTCTCTTGGAGGCCACTTGAAGCGCTCCTGGGACGCTCTTGGAAGCCTGCTGGGACCTGGCCGGGATCTGCCCTGGACCTGCCTGGGACCTTGCTGGGACCTTGCCAGGACTTGCTGGGACCTTGCCGGGGTATTTTTCGTCCGGGGACCCCCAAGGGCGGCCCTGTGCGCGCGAACTAGAATATCGTTAACCAGTCACCGGAGATTTTAGCACGCCCTTGGCCCGTTGGGCCAGCGAATTTCACTCAAGAATTTGCGCCCTCTCCACCTCCCTCAGGATCGAGATTCGAGGTTGCAGACGTGGGCGCACGGAACCTAGACACCACGGTCCCTTGATGATGCAGTTGTTCAGCGCTTTTTCTTTTAGCGTGAGGCATCCATGATGCTTTTGGGGAATCATGCGGGCCTTTGGAGACCTCTGATCTCCAGACATCCGGACCTCCGACGTCTTGAAAATTATTGGTCGGGGGTTCAGGGGCTGTTTCTGGCTCCGGGGCGGTCAGACAGCGCTCCAGAACGTGACAATGTGGACCAGGGGTCGGGAGTTGTGGGGTCTGCAGGAGGTCTGCGATCGAGGACTGAGGTCCTTGCGTCTATTCTTGCTTTTTGGGGATCCCGCTCAAACTGTGGCTCAGGATGGCTGGTCCTGCAGGCACAGTCAGCCCGCAGAGTAAGGACGAGCAACTTTCCAAGGTTGCTCTCGCATCCTTGGCCGCTTCCGCTGGCCTCGCAAGGCCCTTGCATCCTCATCGTGCGTCCTTGCGGCACGGGTTGACCGCAGGCCCCGGAGCCCAGGGCTCGCTCTCCTCGGTGCCCGCTGCGTACCTCGTGCGCCGACTCGCTGGGCGGCTCGACCCAAGGGGGTCCTCGGCGCGCCGCCGCCGCTCCGGAGCCCTCTGATGGCTTTCTGCATCGAGGCCTCCAGGATGGTCGTCGGTCGTCGCCGTCGCCCTCTTCGTCCTCGTCGGCCCGCCCTCGTCAGGAGGCGGCCGCTCTGGGCCCGCAGCTGTGCGTCATCCTCGCGCTGGCGGACGCCCGGGGCTTGCCGTCGGGCCTCCTCGCCGACCCCCCTCAATAGGCCTCCAGGGCGGTGTCCGAGCAGGGGCGGTGGGAGGATGGCGCTGCATCGCCGATGCACCGGCGATGCGGCTCGATGTGACAAGCCAGAGATTCTCCACGCCGCCGGCGGCGATGCATCGCCGGCTTGGGCGATGCATTCGGCGATGCGTCGGCGATCCTCCGACCCCATCTACTTGGAGCCCATTTGGGAGGCTTCCACCCCAGACCTCGCCGCCGGCCTCCTCGCCGCCCCCTCTCCCCGCCCCCGTCCTGCCGTCAGAGGCGTCGATTTATCCATGGCCACCGCCGGTGGGATCGGTCTTCGGGCACCTCGGCATGCGGTGGGCACGAATATGGATGTGCATCCATGCGCCGCTTGCCAAGGTCCCTGCAGATCGATGACCCAAGCGTTGGTTGTGGTGGATAATCCCCGCCTCGCATTGGGGGTAACGTAAGGGGTGTGTGGATAGGCTCAGGAGAGAGCGCATCGATCCCCAATATCGACCACTCAACGTGGATAGGTTCCTTATAGCCCACCTGTCCAGACAAGGTGTTGTTTCGCTGTCGGAGGCATATCGCCGATTCGCGATGCATAGCCGATTCATGCTCGATGTTCTCTAAATCCAGTCCCTCCTATCGTTTACCCTCTGTCTTCATGGGACTGAGTAACTTCGAGGGTCGCGCTGTTGCTTTGACGTCTGTGACCCTCGTTGAGCCTCGAGGAGGCTTCTCGTCGCCACGGCATGATCCGCCTCGAGATTCTGGTCAGATCGTGCCCCTGGACAGCTCTCGGGGGCAACTTTGCGTCTGAACCCAAAACAGCATCCCCGTCTCGTGTCCAGTGAGAACGTGACCTAAGATGGGTCCGTGGAGTGAAGGCTGATATCGACACCTTTTCGCTCCCCTGGCCCATCTTTGCGTCCATGTCTATGGCCCCTCCTGTTTAGGATGCAACTCCTTGGAGTTTAGTTCAACATCGGCGATAGAATGCCATGGTCAAAAACTTGCCAAATCATGCCCCCGCTTAATTCTTTTGCTGCGCCCTTCCAGCCTGTTTGCGGCCTGCCCCTTTCGGCCAGCTTCGATTTCACTGTCGGTTCGGTTGGTTTTCGATTTTGCTGGCGTGGATGGCCTTGCCTTGGCGGCGCTGGCGCCCGTGCCCCTCTCCGTCGGAAGGACTCGCCGGGCCACGCGTACCTGTGGCAGAACGCTGTGTATCTGCTCTCCGCAGTGGCCTACATGGCGGCGGTCGCCGCCTGCGGGCGGTCCCCGCCGAAGATCCGGGACGCGGCGCTGCCCCCAGAGGAGCTCGCGGGGATGGCGGTGGCGGCGGCGACGTCAGTCGACGACGAACGGCGACGGCGAGCCCTGAGATCCTGGCGTCGGACAGGGCTACGACGAGGACAAACGTTCCAGAGCGTTCCGGAACGCTCTGAGAAGGCCGCGGCGCTGGATACATCTTCCAGAGCCGTTGGATCTCAGAGATTCTCTATTTCCCAACCATCCTGTGGTGTTGGGTCCTCGTTTTGAAGAGACGTCGCCCCGCGTTCCTTCCTCCTCCTTCCTCCTCCTCCCCTTCCTCCCCCCTCCTCCCCCTCCCACACCCATGCTGGCACACCCCTCACACGTTTCGTGGCCCCATAGGGAGCTCCACCGAAGGCCCCAGTGGCTGCGCCCGCATGCGGTTCCACCCCCCATTCTGGCACACCCCTCACACGCTTCGTGGCCCCATAGGGAGCTCCACCGAAGGCCCCAGTGGCTGCGCCCGCATGCGGTTCCACCCCCCATTCTGGCACACCCCTCACACGTTTCGTGGCCCCATAGGGAGCTCCACCGAAGGCCCCAGTGGCTGCGCCCGCATGCGGTTCCACCCCCCATTCTGGCACACCCCTCACACGTTTCGTGGCCCCATAGGGAGCTCCACCGAAGGCCCCAGTGGCTGCGCCCGCATGCGGTTCCACCCCCATTCTGGCACACCCCTCACACGTTTCGTGGCCCCATAGGGAGCTCCACCGAAGGCCCCAGTGGCTGCGCCCGCATGCGTTCCACCCCCCATTCTGGCACACCCCTCACACGTTTCGTGGCCCCATAGGGAGCTCCACCGAAGGCCCCAGTGGCTGCGCCCGCATGCGGTTCCACCCCCCATTCTGGCACACCCCTCACACGTTTCGTGGCCCCATAGGGAGCTCCACCGAAGGCCCCAGTGGCTGCGCCCGCATGCGGTTCCACCCCCATTCTGGCACACCCCTCACACGTTTCGTGGCCCCATAGGGAGCTCCACCGAAGGCCCCAGTGGCTGCGCCCGCATGCGGTTCCACCCCCCATTCTGGCACACCCCTCACACGTTTCGTGGCCCCATAGGGAGCTCCACCGAAGGCCCCAGTGGCTGCGCCCGCATGCGGTTCCACCCCCCATTCTGGCACACCCCTCACACGTTTCGTGGCCCCATAGGGAGCTCCACCGAAGGCCCCAGTGGCTGCGCCCGCATGCGGTTCCACCCCCCATTCTGGCACACCCCTCACACGTTTCGTGGCCCCATAGGGAGCTCCACCGAAGGCCCCAGTGGCTGCGCCCGCATGCGGTTCCACCCCCCATTCTGGCACACCCCTCACACGTTTCGTGGCCCCATAGGGAGCTCCACCGAAGGCCCCAGTGGCTGCGCCCGCATGCGGTTCCACCCCCCATTCTGGCACACCCCTCACACGTTTCGTGGCCCCATAGGGAGCTCCACCGAAGGCCCCAGTGGCTGCGCCCGCATGCGGTTCCACCCCCATTCTGGCACACCCCTCACACGTTTCGTGGCCCCATAGGGAGCTCCACCGAAGGCCCCAGTGGCTGCGCCCGCATGCGGTTCCACCCCCCATTCTGGCACACCCCTCACACGTTTCGTGGCCCCATAGGGAGCTCCACCGAAGGCCCCAGTGGCTGCGCCCGCATGCGGTTCCACCCCCCATTCTGGCACACCCCTCACACGTTTCGTGGCCCCATAGGGAGCTCCACCGAAGGCCCCAGTGGCTGCGCCCGCATGCGGTTCCACCCCCCATTCTGGCACACCCCTCACACGTTTCGTGGCCCCATAGGGAGCTCCACCGAAGGCCCCAGTGGCTGCGCCCGCATGCGGTTCCACCCCCATTCTGGCACACCCCTCACACGTTTCGTGGCCCCATAGGGAGCTCCACCGAAGGCCCCAGTGGCTGCGCCCGCATGCGGTTCCACCCGCCATTCTGGCACACCCCTCACACGCTTCGTGGCCCCATAGGGAGCTCCACCGAAGGCCCCAGTGGCTGCGCCCGCATGCGGTTCCACCCCCATTCTGGCACACCCCTCACACGTTTCGTGGCCCCATAGGGAGCTCCACCGAAGGCCCCAGTGGCTGCGCCCGCATGCGGTTCCACCCCCCATTCTGGCACACCCCTCACACGTTTCGTGGCCCCATAGGGAGCTCCACCGAAGGCCCCAGTGGCTGCGCCCGCATGCGGTTCCACCCCCCATTCTGGCACACCCCTCACACGTTTCGTGGCCCCATAGGGAGCTCCACCGAAGGCCCCAGTGGCTGCGCCCGCATGCGGTTCCACCCCCCATTCTGGCACACCCCTCACACGTTTCGTGGCCCCATAGGGAGCTCCACCGAAGGCCCCAGTGGCTGCGCCCGCATGCGGTTCCACCCCCCATTCTGGCACACCCCTCACACGTTTCGTGGCCCCATAGGGAGCTCCACCGAAGGCCCCAGTGGCTGCGCCCGCATGTGGTTCCCCCCCCATTTCGGCACACCCCTCACACGGTTCGTGGCCCATAGGGAGCTCCACCGAAGGCCCCAGTGGTTGCGCTCGCATGCGGTTCCCCCCCCTTTTTCGGCATGCCCCTCACACGTCTCGTGGCCCCATGGGGGGCTCCACCGAACGCCGCAGTGGCTGCGCCCGCATGCGGTTCCACCCCCCATTTTGGCACACCCCTCACACGCTTCGTGGCTCCATAGGGAGCTCCACCGAAGGCTCCAGTGGCTGCGCTGGCATGCGGTTCCGCACCCCATTCTGGCACACCCCTCGCACGCTTCGTGGCCCCATAGGGGGCTCCACCAAAAGGTCCCAGTGGCACTGCCCGCTTGCGTCCGCCACCACCCAGCACAGCCCTTGTTCCCTGCGCTTCACCCACCCAGAACAGCGCTTCGTAGCCCTATAGGGAGCTCCACCAAAGGTCCCAGCGGCACCGCCCGCATGCGTCCGCCACCACCCTGCACAGCCCTTGCTCCCTGCCTGCGTTTCACCCACCCAGTACAGCGTTTCGTGGCCCCATAGGGAGCTCCACCGAAGGTCCCAGTGGCACCGCTCGCATGCGTCCGCCACCACGCAGCACAGCCCTTGCTGACCGCGTCTCACCCACCCAGTACAGCGTTTCGTGGCCCCATAGGGAGCTCCACCGAAGGTCCCAGTGGCACCGCCCGCATGCGTCCGCCACCACCCAGCACAATTGCGGCATTCACAACTGCATATGGTTGGGTCCTTCGCCAGGCTAATTTTCCTCACCCGATTTTATCCTCGTCCTGGTTTCGTCTTATGGCGTCGCATTGTCTTCACAACAAGCGACTTTGCCATGTTACAGGCCCCAGGGCCCTCGCGGATCGATCCGGCTCGAGAGATGCCGCAGAAGGGTGGGGTCCAGGGCTCCACTCGAGATTTGTCCACGATGCTGCAAGTTTCTCGTGACGCCAGATCTCAGGGAACGGCGGCGGCGGCGGTTGCGACGGTGACGCCCGCGGCGACGACAAAGTTTGACGACGGACGGACGGTGGCGGCGGGGCAAATCCGCGACAGTTGTGCTCCGCCGCGGGGGCCTCGATGCTTTCAGAGCAGCCGCGGCTGCGGGAGCTGCGCTCATCACCCCGCTGCGGGACTCGCTGGCCTCTGCACCCGTCTTGAGAGATCGTGGGGGTCTTGACAACGACTCCTAACATTAGTGACCTGTCGGGTCTTCGGCCGCTGCTGCTCTTCCTCGACCTCGGGCGTCGGCGGTGCAGGGGCCCGAGGCAGCGAGTGGGAGCGCCTGGCGCGCGGAAGGGGTGCGGTTTTCCTGCATGTCCGTGAGCTTCTTAAGGCGCAAGCAACATTTCACATATCGAAGTCGAGAAGGACCCACACCCCTTCGCGTGATGTAAAACATGACGACATTTTTGTTCCCCAACCTTCCTGTGTGTTGGGTCTTCTTTCTGAATCCGTTGCGCCGCGCGTCTCCTTCTCCTTCTCCGACCTCTACTCCCTCCACTTTATCATCATCAGCAGCATCATCACCATCAGCATCATCATCATCAGCACCATCATCATCATCATCATCATCATCATCATCATCATCATCATCATCATCATCATCATCATCATCATAATCATCATCATCATCATCATCATCATCATCATCATCATCATCATCATCATCATCATCATCATCATCATCATCATCATCATCATCATCATATAACTGCTTGTAGTGCTTTGATCGTTGCAATGCTCTGTGCCGCAACCGCGTCGGCTCAAGTCTTAATTTGTGTGGCTCCCATGCAAGACATCGTCGCATCTTTTTCAGACATTCTGCGATACGGGGCTCAGGCTGTGGGAGCTTCCGTGGTGGCACGCGCTGCCGCGCCGAGTTGCGGGGCCTGCGCGCCGCAGCTCACCTGCCCCGCCATCCCCGCCTGTGTCTGCGCGGGCGCTGGCGGCCAGGTGCCCGAGCCCTCGTGCGGGGGGCTCATCGCGGCCTACGCGGCGGCCGCGCTGACCGTCGGCCTGGCCGTCGGTGCCGCAGGAGGCGCGCTGCTTGCCCGCAGGGCGGAGAGCAGCCCCGCCGCCGAGGCGCCTGCTGCCAGCTTCGAGGAAACGGCCCGCGCCCAGGCGAGGGCCGTCAGAGATAAGAAGGCCTCTACTGCGTGAATATGGCTCACCAGTTGCATTGGGCGCTCGTCAGATATCGAGTGCCTGGCGCGCACGTGTGGCATGAGCGGCTCATTGTGTGGCGCGGGCCTGGGACGACAGTATACGTCATCACGCCTGACGGTGATCGATATGAAGAGAGTGGCACTCCAGATGCCGACATCGCGGGCATCATCACGATAGCAGGGCAGGGCGAGAGGCCAGCTGGGCTTCGCGTGTACGGCTTCAGAGCGCTGCCGTCCGACGCCGACGTGTGGGCTGGCATCATGAAGGCGGCCGCGCTTTTCGGAGGCGGCCGCCCCGCGTCGCCCGCCAACATGCCCTTGGCCGCTGGCAACGTGGGCGGCCTCGCGGTGGGCAATCACGTGGTTGCTGACCCTGCGCCGC